TTGTTTAATTTCCTTGTGTGTGTGTGTGTTTTTTTCCGAACCGTCAGTTTAATTATAATTATCTTATCGTATTCTCAAATAATCGTCAAAATATTGGTCACCGCTAGGGATGTCCCATTTTCAATAGTGTGACCCCAGTGAAATGCACCATTTATGGCATTTCACATCGGCGGTTTCAAAACCGCGAGTGAAAAATCAAAAAAGTGCCGCTAGTAGAAACTATTTATGTAATATGGTGTTTGGCAACTCTTTCACTATGAGCTCCATGAGATGCTTTTTGTTGTGAATTGTGAAGATCTTCACTGGTTAATACGTTGCCTAAAATAAAGGCCAAATTAAGCTGCGGTTGATCACCGGTGCGTCAGCAGACTGGTTAATAATTTTCGAAAACTTCAGACTGCCCTCTCGGTTAGTAACGACCTATGAGTACGATGAGCAGGGGCCTGAAGATTCAACCTTACACATTGCGTCTTGTACGTACGGTTTTTTTGTCCGCTCCTCGTATAGACAAGTATATATTAAGTTACAACTACTTGCTTACTGTACTAAACAATGGTTTCAGAAGCGGTCTGACTCTGACCTACAATGTGATGATTCGCCCGACATGGAGCCTGGGAACCAGGCAGCATTGTTGTTGAGCCGGTGCAACGGACGAGGGACGAGAGATATCTCCACATAAATAATTTATTTACCAAGATATAGTCGCACACGAGACTTGGCTGCTATACTGACCTACATTGTGTAACTCGTAATGATTCGACAAAGCTGTCGCACAAGTGTGTGTGTGTACGAGTACTCCCTCCCAACAAATGAACCCAAAAGAAACGGAAACCACGTCGCGACACAAGTACGCGTATCCAAGAAAATGGTCACCGGCATCGGAAAGCGACGCGCTCAGATGCCCGGCCTGGGATTTCTAGGAGCACATCACACATCACATGGTGTGCTCCTCCGATTCGATCCTCGCATTGCACCCGTGCAGCACCATCTCGGTCTGTCTAGATGGATGAATGAATATATATTTTGAGCACACGAGACGACGAGAAGGCCGCTTTCGGCGTCGGCGCGTCGCTGTCGCGTGCACCTGCACTGGGATATTCCCCCTCTCGATCCATCCCATCCATCGGATAGGCTAGAACCGAACCGAACCGAACCGACCGGACAAGGCATATGCGCGTTCTTGGGCTGCCCTCCCGCAAACGACGCGGCACGAGCACACGAGACGGGTAGGCGTACGCCATCGACGAGGACAAATAAGCCTGCGTGAATTCCTGATTCGGAGAGATCTCGCGTGCGTGAGGAGCACCACCCCCTACCGTACCCAAAAGCAATCGCGGCCGGCTGGCTGGGCCGCGCGCGCACGATGCCCGCGACAGCATGCATTTCTCTATTGCATTGCATTTTCCCAGCGCAGCGATGACGGATTGACGGCTGCCTGCTCGGTTCGGTTCGATCGGCTTGCGGTTGCATTCCACCTGCCAAGACGGAATCTCCCCGACTCCCCGGGCAGGCCCTCCTGTCCGCTAGCGTTTGGACAGGCTCCTTCGTCGTCCGGCTTGCGCTGACCGACCCCTGAAGTTGGTGCGGGTGGAACGGACGGAGACTGGGGAGGAAAGCCGTTTGCTCACTTCCAGGGTAGAGGGTACGTAAACAATTCGGATCGGACCACTGGTGCTGTGCTTGGACCTTGGAGATGGGAATTCAGCGCTAGTATCCCGTTCTTCCTTCCATGTGGAAAAATCTAGTCCGGCCAAGATCCGGAGCATCTTTGGACGCGTCAAAATTAAGAATCTAGTATATCGTATCGTATGGTATCGGGAGGGAGCGAGCGAGCGAGTGCACATTGGTCTCTCTTGACGCGTCCAACCAAGCATGCATATTGTATCGGAAAAAAGTCTAAGTAACCTCAACTATTCAAGGTGGACTGCTTCATCCATAAACTATAAAACCGGATTTTCTACCCATCAACTTCCAAAACCGGTTAAGTAACCCCAATCTGGTTTGGACTGTGGTTTTGTTTTTTTTTCTTTTTATTTATTTCCGCTAAATCTTTCAAAAAATCATAGTTAATCACATAAAAATCATAAAATAAAAAATTCAATTTTATTGTACTCCACATGATCTACATAGTGAACATATAATATAGTATGCTTTAGTATAAAGTTTTTGCTGTAGCTTTAGATCTATGCTTTTCTGTAATTAATTGGAATAATTCATAGCTGCAGCTTCTATGTTCCAATTTGTGGTGAAATTTTTATGGTAAAATTATTATTGTATGCTTCAACTATAGTAAAAATTTCATTGGATCATGTATAACTTAGTTATAGATTTATTAACTAAGTTATACATGATTCAATGACTATGAAATTTTTACTACAATTCAAGCATACAATAATTAGCCCACCATACAAAATTCACCATAATTGGAAAATAGAAGTTGCAGCTATTAATTATTCAAATTAATTATAGAAAAACATGGATCTAAAGCTACAGCAAAAACTTTGTACTAAAGCATACCATATTATATGTTTACTGTGTAGATCTACTCATGTGGTGTCCAACAAAATTGGATTTTTTATTTTATGTTTTTTCTGTGATTTTTCAAAGATTCAGTGAAAATAAATAAAAAAGAAAAAGACAAAACCACCGTCGCTGTAGCAAAACCACCGCCCGAAACCGCTTGGGGGGTTATTTGACCGGTTTTGAAAAGTTCAGGGAGTAGAAAATCCGGTTTTATAGTTTGAGTGTGAAGTAGTCAACCCTGAATAGCTGGGGGGTTACGTAGCCCCTGTGTTTGCATCTAGGGGCTAAAGTTTAGTCGTGTCACATTGAACATTCGGATGCTAATTAGAAGGATTAAATATGAGCTAATTATAAAACTAATTGCACAGGAGTAGACTAATTAGCGAGACGAATCTATTAAGCCTAATTAATCCATAATTAACAAATGTTCACTGTAGCATCACATTGTTAAATCATGGACTAATTAAATTTAATAGATTCATCTCGTAAATTAGTCTCAATATGTGTAATTAGTTTTGTTATTAACCTACGTTTAATACTCTTCATTGGTTTCCAAGATTGACGTGACAGGCTAAACTTTTGGGCAGAGGACCAGTTCAGCGCTCTTGATCGATCTGGCAGACGGGAGTTGGGCGCAGCAGCTACCGTGGCGTGAGGTGCCAGCTTTCTGTGATTCTGTCCATGCGTCCTTTCTGTCCCGGCCTGCTCCGTACACATATATGCTTTCCATCCATCAAATTGTATTTGTAAACACAGTACTACTACTTTTCAAATAAAGAAAAATCTCTACATCCCATATACTAGAACCTTCCATCAAATTGTATTTTTAAGTACAGTACTTTTTAAGTACAAAAAACAATAAAAAATTCTGCGTTTATAAAACCACGCTATCGATGGTCCATGTTTTCATTCACGCAAGCCAACACCACTGCCGCTACGTACGCCCAAGTGTGGTGTCGTTGGATTCGTTCCATACCTCCATATGTCATTCGGTACTTACGTACCTACGGCTTCAATTTTTCGAGCAATTAGTATGCCCATTCACACGCGTTAAACTAGACCACCTCCGATCCGATCAGCAGTGGGCCATAGGATCGGAGTAGAGATCATCGATGACAAGGCCGGGGGTGCTCATCACCATCACGTTATATATCTCTCAACTCTGATGATGCATCATCTCTATCTTCACACTGTACACCGAGGACTGGATTGTTAACCGATTAATATAATAAATAAACTCGTGCGCGAGGTCCGAACGCATGGCACGTGGTAACAACGTTTCAACGATCCTACCGCGTCTCTGCAGAGACATCTTTTTTAGGTGCAGACAAACGGTTTGGTGAACCACTCCCTGCTGGCAAGGTCGTCACCAGATCGTCCTGCTGTTTATCCTTTCCAACGTACCTACGGGTAGACTCCCTTTTACTCAGCTGCTGCTGATGCATCAGATATAGTTTACCTTGCAAGTTACGTTTTCCTTACTGCATATGCGTGTAGACCTTCCATGTAATTTCTGCTGGAGCATAAAGTCATGTGTTCTAAGTACTCCTCCAATGTATATATCATGTCCTTTGTTTTGACCACAAATAATAAGTCTACAACTTTTGTTATAAATATTGCTAACTAGGCCATGTTTAGATTGCAAAAAATTTTAACCCGATGAATAGTAGCACTTTCATCTTATTTGGTAAATATTGTCCAATCGTGGACCAACTAAGCTCAAAAGATTCATCTCATGATTTCCAACTAAACTGTGCAATTAGTTATTTTTTTTACCTACATTTAATGCTCCATACAAACGGCTAAAAATTAATGTAATGGAGAGAGAGTGAAAAAACTTAGAATTTTGAGGGTATCTAAACAAGGCCCTAGTACAAACTACAAGTCAAAATACAAAGATTACTAACCAGTGACTTCCTGAAGAAAAGATATACAACTAACCTGTGTGTTTATATATTACTATATATGGACACAGAATCGCTTGGCAATCTGCCCAGCTTGACTAACGCATTGTTACCAGCATTTGTTTATACTATTAGATAGATGGATCAGTTGTGAACTAGTGCAGCAGTCAGCTCATCGTATGTATATTAAGATAAGAGACGCCGTATGTTAAAACCAGTTTATTACCATTGAAATTGTAGTTAATTGATCTAACCAGTAAACTCCACTCCATTTTGATGCGGCCCGTCCATGCGAGCTAGAAAGGACAATACGCTTCGAATCTAATGATGCTTTGATTTGTCTATAAGTCTATTTCTGTACGTACCAATCGTGTGTAGTAACTCTTTTGCAATCTAGTTTACATGTGTGTATCAATAATCATCAACGAAGAAAAGCACAAGAAAAACTAACAAACCAAACCTTGTCTCCACAATGAACCAATTGAACAAACCAAGAAGACGACGATCGTCCAAGTATACTTTATCGACGAACTGTGCTCTGATCTCAGACTTCATTCGTATGTACTGTATGTACTAGCTGAACGCCTGCTTGTTGATCGATCGGGGCCGGCGCCGCCACCCGGTCGCGGTGATCAGCTGCGCTCGATCTCTCCACGCCAGCGACATGGCCCTGCCACCTTCGCCCTCCATGACCCGGAACCCGCCGCCGCCGCCGCACCCGCCGCTCTTCATCTTCAGCAGCAGCTTCGCCTGGCTCACCGTTCGTGAGCTCAGCTCCACGCGCTCGAACCCCGCGCGCTCCATCATCTGCTTCCAACTGGTAGTGGTAGGCTCTGCCATGTGATCGTCATCGCCGCCGCCATAGTTGTTGTTGTAGTCTGCTAAAGATGCCATGGCGTCGCTGATCTCCGTGCCCAGGTGGTTCCTCTCGATGGCGAGCCTCTCGGCGCTGTCGGCGGGGAGGCACTCGTGCAGCGAGTCGAACACCGCGGCGAAGTACCGCAGGCTGGCCGTGAACGGCGGGAGCACGCTTGAGCGGCGTCCTCTCGACGTGGCATTGCCGCCGCCGCCACCGCCTCCATCTTTCTCTACCAAGAACACCAGGGAAGGATTCAGGGAGCGGATGCGAGCCAACGCGGTGCACGCTTCTTCTCTTGCACTGCTTGTCGTCGAGCTCTGTGCTGCTGCTGCCGGGAACACCAGGTTGACGACCACGGTCGCGTCGTCGTCGACCTTGATGCGTTCATGGCGGCGGCCACTGTCTGGACCATCATCGTCCACGATGCCCTCGAACTCGAACCTTAGGTTGGGGCACCCGCTCGCGAACCGCGCCAGCCGCGCCTCCGTTTGCCTCAGCTCGTCGGGGTTCTTGCCGAAGCCGGTGATTCGCAGGGAAACAGGCTCGGCGCAGTCCCCGTCGCCATCGCAGTCGTGTGAGCTGCTGCTCGTGGTCGGGCTCGTGCTCGCGGCGGCGTGCGACAGGGACTGGATCAGGGAGGGCCACTGGAAACCGTACGACACGTCGAAGTCGACGACGTGGAGACGCCGGCGGCCGCCGCTCTCGAACGCCTCCACGATCGCCTGGTTCGCCGTGAAGTGCGCCAGCTGGTAGATCGGGGACGCCTGGTAGAACATGGTGTACGCCAGGAACCGCTCGGCGCGCGTCGGCGGCGCGGCCGCGGCCGCCGCAGGCGACGACCACGACGACCGGACGAGCCTCGACGACGTCAGCGCGTCCGCGAAGTAGGCCGCGACGCGCTGCTCGGGGTCGCCGCCGCGGAACGACGCGCGCCGGTAGACCTCGTGCAGGGCCGCGGCGACCGCGTGCGCGTCGCCGGACTCCGCCGCGGCCACCGACGAGAGAAGCAAATGCATGAGCCGCAGGCCGCCGCCACCGTCATCGGGAGCTGCTGCTGCTACCCTCGGATCGTCGACCTCCAGCTTGGCCATCATCCGTTCACTGGCCTGTAGAAGCCTCACGACCCTGCTGTGGTGGTCTCCGCCATCGCAGCTCATCACGTCGTCGACGACGACGCTGTCCCGCAGTAGCTTGCGCTTCTTGGTCGTGCCAGTGCCGCCATTGATGGCTAGACTCAACGTCAGGTTCATGTACACCTTCCAGCGTACCTACACGATCCTCACAGTTGCTCCTCGCACCAAAATGGCCGACGGCGACGGCGAGGATGATGATGGGGATCGGAAGGGAGGGAGGAAGGGGGGTACGGCGCGAGAGCTATATATATATATATATATAAAGCCAAGCCAGCAAAGGAATCTAGGAGATCTAGGCAAGAGGAGAAAGAGGGAATAGCGTGTAGCTTTGGATGCAAGAAATGCTTCCATATGCTGCCCCGGTTCGTTTTGGCTTGTTCCCAGCGATTCCAAGGAAAGGATATGCCGGGGGAGGAGAACGTTCGTTGGCTGCCTCTTTGTTTTATGCAAGGAGGATCTTCCTGTCTACCGGCATCAGGCCACCACTCCCTGGCCTTACATGGAAACATTGTTCAGAGATAGTGTTAACAAACAATCTTCTGGGGCTAATGCGGAATAGAGACTCCTAGTTTATACGACGCAGGTGTACGTACTATGTGTCGTATGTATGCTTTGGATGGCATCTTTTCCGTGCTGCAAGGTGTGCTTTTACACTGTAGTCTGGCTTACCAGCGCAAGTTGGGCCTATAGTAGTAACCACGACAAACCTCGATAGGTACAACAATGTCTATACGGTTTAATTCAGTTCTCGAACTCTGGATTCGCTTCTAATTAAGTTGGCACAAGAAGATATTGACCCGGGCATCATCGTATACGTCAAGGCCACTTGAGCCGAGCATACGTTCTGTGGACTTGACTTTGTGTGTTTGGACATGGGCGTGGAACCGGTAAAATTTGTGGAAAGGGGTGGCTGCTGATTCCTATTGGAAGGGAGGCGAAAAAGGCGCCGGCAAGAAGATGCGACGAAGGGAAGGCAGTGGACCCTTTGCGCGAAAGCCGGAAGGGCCATAGCACAGAGGGGCGTATGTGACCAAGAAAAAGGGCTAAATAAGGGCATCCCAGAGATGGAGACACTCGAGTCCACCGGATAGACTACCTACCATCGCTGAGGTCCGCCGGTCGCACTGCCCTCCGTTCTAGAAACCATGGTCCTACTACATATGCGACAGTTGGATAATTCTGTTCCCTCTAGCCTTTGTTTACATTTCGCTCTCCGGACGTTTGGCTACTTCGCTGGCAGGTGATTACTCCTGACGTGATGACGGAAAAAGCCGTAGCTGGTTCCAAACCCCAGCGTTCAGTAGGAGGCGTAACAGCATGACGAATTGAAGACCCATTGGCATGCGGATACATATTACAAAGGGTAGGGTAGGGTAGGCAATGCAAGGGAAAGGTCAGCGAAAAGAATAGGTGGTTCTTGCCACCTGTACAACTTTGAAAGGGTCAAGAGGCCGCGGTAGAAGAAACAATAGATCGAACTTGTTATGCATACAGCATTTTGTATTTCTCTGCGACAGTAGTACACGATGTTCTTTTGCTGGTACAACTAAGCACCCGTCACGGAAACTTAACAGCCTACAAAGTCCAAGAGCCAGATTGTCATGCATCATTGTAACACAGAATCCTCGATAAGGTCGGCGTTCATCATGTCATTCTGCCCCAGCACGATTCTATTCTATTGATTGATCCACAGTTCTAGAAACAAAGTAACATTCGTCCTATACCTACCGAGCTGTACTACAGTCACCTTTTTACAGTACTGAAAACTTTGGTCATAAGCATGGAAAATTCTCGCGAAACAACAGTCCTATACCTACCGAGCTGTACAAGATGCACGTACGGTTGGATTCCAAAATTCTTCAATTGCAATTGTCTCTAGAATGGATCAGTACTATAGGAAATGCAACAAGTGCAACGCTAAATATCGGGAATCCTAATACAGCTCTCATCATCACTAACTGCCATCTTAATAGTAGTTTCTATAATTTCATTTTATGTATATGGTTTTTCAATTTTCATTTTTCAGTTCAAAGTTTGACATGGAAAATTGACGACAATTCGGGCTTTTGAGTTTTATCTGCTCTGTATTTTGAGACATGTAAGCTCCAAATTTGGGATAAACACTATTACTAGATTGACGCAAACTTCTTCCATATAAAAACAAGCATATAGCATCAATATATAGCAAACCTCCTTTTCCGCTTTGCAGCTTCCACATTAGCAATCAGCCACATTGTGCAATAAGAATGCTGTGCAGACTCTGTGGAACGTGCACAACGGCAAGAACTGATATTGATCCAAAGCCTACACAGAATGACAGGACAGAAAATATCAAAATGGCCAAGTTCTAAAACCATCTGTTGATGCAACTGAATAGCATCATTATATCCTAAAAAAGGCCAGCATCTGGATATTAAGCTGTAAATTAGAAACAAGACCAGTAGCTGAAAAGCATATCTTCGAACTTACATACTAGACACCATGTTTTTGTTAGCCCACAAGATCACCGGCTCAGATGAGTGAACCACTCATCAGTTTTGCCGAGCACTCGCTAGTGTTGCCGAGCACCCACTAGCTAAGCCGACCACGAATAAACGTTGTTCGTCCCCACACATTATGACTAGAGGTTGAAGAAGAGGGAGAACATAGCATACACACATAGTACAAGACACCAGCGTTGGCCGAAGCCCTGTATTGGAGATGGCAAATCTAAACTCTCTTTACCGAGTTGCCGTGGTAGTCTATTTATACAACTCTATCCATCTAGTCCTAGTACAGTACACATGCTGTAACAGTAACTAGATAACATACAGGGCTGACTCTGTGTCGGCCTTTGCATGTGGCTACAGTGCTGCAGCTGAGCCGTGCGGCGCCTGCACCTGTAGCGGCTACAGTATCACAACAGGGGGCCTTTCCGGCGTCGCATTCCCTTGCTGTGTTCACACAAGGTAGCAGTAGATTATCTAACAATATTCCCCTAATCCTACTGCTAACTCTTTATCCCCTCCATGCCGATCATCTCCTTCAGCTCCGTGAGTCGAAGACGTCCGAGCGGCTTGGTGAGGACGTCCGCGAGTTGCCGACCATTTTCGACGAACTCGATGACGATCTGCCCTTCATTGACACAGTCCCTGAGGATGTGGAACTTCACGTCGATGTATTTACTCCGGTCGTGTAGAACCGGATTCTTCGCGAGGGCGATGGCGGGCTGGTTGTCCACCATCAGTGCTGGTGGGTGAGCTTCCACACCGGTCAGCTCGCCGAGCAGCTAGCGCAGCCACACAACTTGGCACGCCGCTGTGGCCGCCGCTACGTACTCTGCCTCGCACGTAGATAGCGTCACCACCTTCTGTTTCAACGACAGCCATGAAATTAGGGCCGACCCGAGGAAGACGAGCACGCCAGAGGTGCTCCGTCGTCCGTCGATGTTCCCTGCCATGTCTATATCGCTGAACACAGTGAGCTGCAGCCTACTCCCGCCGGTCTTGGGAAAGATGATCACTTGATCCACCGTCCCCTTGATATAGCGTAGTAGCCGCTTCACTGTAGCCCAGTGATCCTCTCTGGGATCCTCCATGAAGCGACTGACGTAGTCCACAGTGAACGCAATGTCCGACCTTGTATGGACTAGGTAGCGCAGACCGCCGACGATGCTCCGGTAGAGTGTTGCATCCACCTTCGCCGCAGTGTTGGCCTTCGTCAGCTTCAGCCGCTTCTTCATCGGAGTCACGCATGGCTTGCACTCAGCCATGCCGCTCCTCTCCAACAGCTTGGAGGCATACGCGCTCTGACCGAGCGTGAGTTCCTCCTTCCCCTATCTCACCTCGATGCCGAGGTAGTAGGAGAGTGCACCGAGATCGCTCATTCGAAAACGAGCCGCCATCTCGTGCTTAAAGCCGTTGATGTCCTCCGTGCGCGCGCCGGTGACGATCAAGTCATCCATATACACGTCGACGATGAGCTCCTCCTTCCCCCGTCGCCGCGTGTAGAGCGCGTGCTCGGTTGCGCACCTCTGAAACCCAAGCTCGCCCAGCGTGGCGTCAAACTTGGTGTTCCATACTCAAGGGGCCTACCGCAGTCCGTAGAGCGCCTTGCGTAGTCGGAGCACCCTGTGCTCCTCTCCCTTGACAGTGAAACCTGGAGGTTGCCTGACGAATACCGTCTCTGCCAGCTCATCGTTGAGGAAGGCCAATTTAACGTCCAAGTGATGGACGTGCCAGTCCTTTGCTGCTGCCAAGGCTAGTAGCAAACGGACCGACTCCATGCACGCTACTGGCGCAAAGACCTCCTCGAAGTCTATGTCCTCGCGCTGAACAAAGCCTCGGGCAACGAGGCGCGCCTTGTGCTTGACAATGGTGCCGAGCTCGTTCCGTTTGACCTTATACACCCACTTTAGGCTGATCAGACGGCATCCTGGAGGTGGATCGATGAGCTGCCATGTCTCGTTTTCCTCGATCGCCTTCATCTCCTCCAGCATCGCGCGAACGTGGGTGGTTCCTCTGCATTGACGAGCAGCAACTCTGCGTCATTGAGCAACCGACCAGCCAGTCCTGAGGGTCCTGTGCCGTTGACGATGTCGTCCAGCCTGCGGAACCGCACCTCCTCACCTTCGTGGAAGGCATCCATGAACTTAGTGATGTCACTTGGAGGTGAGGCGAACTCGATTAGTGTTGATAGAGTTCCCTGTTCCGCCGGAGTGCTCATTACAGTACCTGAAGTGCTCGGCACTACTTCTGGACTTCTCGTCATAACTCCTGCAGTGTTTGGCAACACTGTAGGAGTGCCTAGCCTCAGTCTTAGAGTGGTCGACACCACTGTAAGACGTCTTGGCTCCACCATGGGAGTGCTCGGCACCCATCCTGGAGTGGTCGCCACCACTGCAGAACCTCTCGGCGTGCTCGACATCCCTCCAGGAGTGCTCGGCATCCCTCCCGAAGTGCTCGGCACTGCCCCAGGAGTGCTCGGCTCTGCCGCTGGAGTGCTCGGCACCTCTTCCCCAGCGTCTCCACCACCGTGGATGACCAAGTGCTCGACGACGAAGGTGCTGGTAAAGCTGCCAGCTTCCCCCGTGCTCGGACTGCTCCAGTCCTAAGCCGCCTCCTCGTTGAACACGACGTCGCGCGAGACAAACACCTTGTCTCTGCGTGGGTCATAGAGCCGGTACGCCTTGGTACCCTCCGCGTAGCCTAGGAAGACCATCGGTGTGCTCCTGTCCTCCAGCTTGGTGAGGTTCGGCTTCGTCTTCCTGACGTGGCCGATGCAGCCGAATGTCCGGAGGAAGGACACACTCGGCTTGCGCCCATACCAAGCTTCGAACGGCATCTTTCCCGTCAGGGCATTGGTCGGAGCGCGGTTGAGGATGAACACCGTCGTGGTCACCGCCTCCCCCTAGAACCTTGCCGGCATGCCTTTGACCTTCATCATGGATTGGGCCATGCCGACCACCATCTGGTTCCGTCGCTCCACCACGCCATTCTGTTGTGGCGAGTACGGCACGGTGTGGTGTCGCTCCACACCCTAATCTGCGCAGTATGCAGCGAACTCCACCAAAGTGAATTCGCCGCCATGATCAGTCCTCAGCAGTCGAAGCTTCTTGCCGTTCTCGGCCTCCGCACGCATCTTGAACTTTTTGATCGCCGCCGCCGCTTTGTCCTTGCTTGTCAGGAGTTGCAGCCACATGTAGCGACTGCAATCATCCACGAGCAGGAGGAAGTACCGCCGACCACCGTTTGTAGCTAGCGTGATCAGCCCGCAGAGGTCGACGTGGACGAGCTCTAGAGTGTCCTTCGCGTGATACTTGGCCGCCTTTGGGAATGATAGCCTCCTCTGCTTCCCGGCCAGGCAGCTGTCACACAGCTCGCCTCCGTGCTTGATGTGGGGTAGCCCTCGGACCATCTTTTCTAGCCGACCAAGCACGTCGAAGCTGAGATGTCCGAACTGGGCATGCCACATCCATAGTTCCTTAGAGTGCCTTGTCGCCAGGCACACTGGTTGCTCTACCTTCAGGTCGAGCAGGTACAACCGGTTCAGGGACTTCTTCACCTTGGCAAGAAGTCGCTGCTCCCAGTCCCTGATCCTAAGGACCTCGTCCTTGATCAGTACCTTGCTACCGCGCTCATCCAGCTGACCAATGCTGATGATGCTGGAACGCAGCTATAGCATGTAATATACATCCGTTAGCGCGCGGTGCTCCCCGTTCTGGCACCTGAAGATAATGGTGCCGCGCCCTTGGATAGCCACCCTTGAGCCATCATCCAACTTCACTGTACCGGTAACATCGTTGTCGAGCTCGAAGAAGGATGCCTTGGAGCCCGTCATGTGGTTACTGGCACCAGAGTCCAGATACCACCGCTGCTCCTGGTCGGCGCCCACACGTCTGAGGTGGACTTAGACGCGTGGTTCATCGAGGTTGACAATCTTCAGGGCCTTCCTAGGTCCTTCCACCGTCGTCGCCTCTTCCTTCTCCAGCGTCTCGACGTCGTGCAGTGCACAGAACGTCACCATCAGGATAGTGGCCTCATCCTCATCATCAGCTTGCGCCAGATGAGCTTCAGCCTTCTTCTCCTGCTTGCGATTTGGGCACTCCCGTGCCCAATGGCCCATCTTCCCACAGCGCCTGCAGGTGCTGGGGACGACTTGCTTCTTCTTCTCCGAAGAAGCCCTGTCGCGGCGCTTGCCATCGCCACCGCGACTGGAGGAGGCTGCCTTCCTGGAGTCTCGGAGTTCCTCCGAGCAACCTACTCCTCTTCCGCCAGCAGCAGTTTGCTGCTGTCCTTCGTTGCTGTCGCCTGCTCCAGGCGCTCGTCCACCGCTCGCAGATGGCCTGACACATCCTCAATGGTGAGGGTGGACAAGTCCAGCGTCGTCTCTATGGAGAGAGCGATCTGGATGTACTTTGCCGGCATGGAGTGGAGGTACTTGGAGACCGCCTCCTCTTCATCGATGGTGACGCCATGGCTCTTCAGCTTGCTGATGAGCGTCTGCAGGCGGAGGGAGAAGTCCTCCAATGTTTCACCATCCTTGAACTTGAGGTTGGCGTACTCCTGCTTCAGAAGCTGGGTCGTCGCCTTCTTTGCGCCGCAATAGCCTCCCACGCCTCCTTAGCCGAGCTCTTCGCCCCCAACGACTCTCTGTACTCCGTCGGTATAGCAGCGAGGATAGCCTCCAACGTTGACATGTCATCTTCTTCATTGTTGGTGTCTTGTCAACAATATTCCAGAGCCGTCGGGCTCTGAGCTTGACCTTCATGGTCACCGACCACTCTTCATAGTTGGTGCGAGTCAGCGTCGGCCAACTGGTGCCGCTGACCTCCCGCACCATGCGAACAATGACCTCCGGTCGTGGCTGGGCAGCCACAGCAGTCCCACTGTTGTCGCCCATCTCCGAATCACCCGTCATCGTCAGCGGTTAGTCTGGCGACGGCGTTTGTGCGGCTCCGATACCACTTGTTAGCCCACAGGATCACCGGCTCAGGTGAGTGAACCACTCACCAGTCTTACCGAGCACCCGCTAGTGTTGCCGGGCACCCACTGGCTAAGCCGACCATGAACAAGCGTTGTCCGTCCCCACACACTATGGCTAGAGGTTGAAGAAGAGAGAGAACTGAGCATACACACACAGTACAAGACACCAGCGTTGGCCGAAGCCCTGTATGAGAGATGACAAATCTAAACTCTCTTTACTGAGTTACCGTGGTAGTCTATTTATATAAATATATCCATCTAGTCCTAGCACAGCGCACATGCTGTAACAGTAACTAGATAACATACATGGCTGACTCTACGCCGACCTCTGCATGTGGCTACAGTGCTGCAGGTGAGCCATGCGGCGCCTGCACCTACAGCGGCTACAGTATCACAGCAGAGGGCCTTTTCGGCGCCGCCTTCACTTGCTGTGTTTACACAAGGTAACAGTAGATTATCTAACAGTTTTCTACCATTATCTGACATCTGAAACTCATAACACCGTTTCAAATTTTGTTTCAATAGAAACACTGTTGAAGTGGTTCCAGTCTCTCAACAACGAGTGGCTGTGTGTCCTGTCTCTGGTGGCCCCATTAAGACACCCAATATAACAAATAAAATGGACAAGATTCCAACCCATAATTTCTCATATGTTTTTGAATCGTGCAAGAAGAAGTCATAAGATCACACGGATGTGTTTACAAACTATTGACCCTCATTGGCCAGTTAAAATTATCAGATCATAATGAAATTACCAAGCAGATCAGATCATAATAAAGTTACCAAGCAGATGATACCAATTATTATTATTATTTTATTAGTGAGATATGCAGAATGATTCAAGCAGACAATCATACAACTTTCCCTACCAAAGAAAGCTATGGAGCTGCCAACGCAAGCACATGAATTTTACCTGGCTTATGCAACTTAAATCTGGGTCCTTAATGTGCTCCCAAAGTCCTTCGATTGATTCTGCTACAGTTCCACCTTTGTCTACAATATAATTCGATGACCTAGTGTAGAATAACAGAAATTAGGCATTGAAACTATACTGGAAGGGCGGGCCTGGTGCAAGCGGTAGAGTCTTACCGCCTGTGACCGGAAGGTCCCGGGTTCGAGTCGCGGTCTCCTCGCATTGAACAGGCGAGGTAAGGCTTTGCCACTGACACCCTTCCCTGCACCCGTACAGAGTGGGGGCTCTCTGCAGTGGATACGCCCTTTATAATCAGTTAAAATGTTAAGCATGCTACGACCCTATTTAGATCAAGGAGATAATAGTTAGCTGCTAACAATTAGCTCTTTGGATCCAAACAGGTCTAACTAATTGTTAGTTGAATACCAAACTAACAACTATTTCACTAGTTGAACAAAACTAGCTAAAAGCAGCTAATATAGTTGTGGGCTATTAGCTAGCTAATTATTAGCAGCTAATAGATCCAAACAGGGCCTACATGATGAATCAAAATGTTAATCGTGGGAATTGCTAGATTGCTTCTTATTGTCAGATAGATGCCATCGGATCATTCTTTTTACAAAAAGTCTTCCATGTAATCCTTAAAAAAATTCTTAGGAAACTTTTTTCATGAAAATTCTAGTGATCCGTATTCAAATAGGTGATGATTATTCCATCTGACGATCCAAGTTTGCCGCTCCAAGTTCATTTCTCAAAGTGAAGTATAGCTGCAAAAAAATATCAATAGGATTACCATGAATTCATGCTTATCGAGCCTTGTCTTCTTCTAACAATAAATGAATGATGGACCTGACCACTTCATTGTCAACAAAAGTTGCCATCTGAAATAAGACAATCAGATAAGGTAATTAGAGAAAGGGGAGTTGCAGCACAGATCTTCGGTGATGTCAAGCAGGTTTTGTACAAAGAAAGCTATACATTTCTATGATACAGTAAACAGAAATTAAGCAACTGCATGCGGAGATGGGCAAGAGACGCTGCAGCTGCACGCATTTCCATTACATCACTTGGCCATTGCATGTTCAACAACAGGAAAATACACCGTACCTCTGGTTTTCTTGTCAGTTCTTTTAGAACAGCATCAAGAGTTATCCGAAGTTGCTTGAATAAAACAGCAGTCTGCGCAGCAGCAGACAGCCTCAACCATCCATCTGTAACAACCACTCCTGTCTGGAACAAAGACAATCAGTTCCCTTCTGAAAATTCAGATTTCATATATTATATGAACGTATGAGCTTTCCAAGTGCCCCTCCAAATAAGAAAAAAAAGTACTCTATCTGATCCACATAGACCAGGAGTCAAAACAAAATACCTAAAGTATACCCTCTTCACAAACTCAAACACACCACACGACACACTAAAGTAAATTAGAACAATTGCACCACACTACAACGACCACTTATGCAAGAACAGGAGGCCCTAGAAACGGCTCACACTGAAGGGTTCCACCACCCTCTACTGTCACCAGAAAAGTCACATGGACAAACTCTTGTCTAAAAGAATCAGAAAATTAAGATCCTGTCAACTCAAGTGCCTCCTACAGAGATGAAAAGAGGATGGGGTCCAGTAGTCTAGTGTTTGATGAGAGGCAAAGTACCTGATGTTGGATTACCATGGAACCACCAAACAAAAGGAGCGAGTACGGGGAAACGACGCTAGTATCACGTAAGAACACCTTGGTTGTCTCAACCTGAAAATAAGGAACAGAGGCAGAAGAATTAACAGATGTGTTAACATCAGAGATTGATAATTTGAATTCATCTTGATGTGGTGATCACAATCCTATATACTACAATCGGAAGTATATATCCATATGGATTGCCCAGATTGGATAGTACTTGAATAAGCAAATAAATATGGATATGCAAATTTCCTCTGGATCAAGTATACAATCTTATGCATAATCTGGAAGGGAAGATAACATCTAAATTATTTTCCATTGATAACATCTGACACAAAATCCATACAAATAGAAAACATATCAAATGCATAACAAACTTCTCTAATAAACAAGTGATAATTGGAGCCCTCGAATACCTATACCCATTTATCAGAAGCATGTGCACCTCACATGATGACAGGGGAAAAGGAACGTGGAACAAAAAGGAAGGGGGGGGGGCAGGCAGACAAAGATACACCTCACCTTGTGGGGACAAAGAATAGACAGGCATATACCTTTTCAAGAAACACCAAAAATGGATATTGAACAGCTTTCAAGCTGTGATTAACAGATGATGGATGTATATGGACTTCTTGCCTTCCATCATACCATCTAGGACGGTCCTTACTGAACAGAACATCAGATGGCTTTCTTCCACCTAGAGCTCCAGGATCAACACCCTCTAGAGATGCTGCAACATTTGGGTATAGACCCGCACACATAATCGACTGCACAACACAAATGGCTTGTAAGAAATTTCTGTACAATTTGCTGACATCATATCCATCTACAAAGTGAAAAAAAGTATGCTATGCATAATGGTGGCATGTTATAATTTTGTTACAGACACCAGCATTGGTCTCACTATCCCAGCATCTACAGCTTAGAGATAAGCCATCTACCATCATTAGCCTGTTTATTTTCTTAACTATTAAGTTAGCAGATTGGTTAGGTGGTTAGCCAAGGTTGACTTTGTTAATGGGTCTGATGGTGTATCATGTACTAGGAAGAATTACGAAGGAAAACCTCTTTCCTTCTCAGACGTGGGCTGAGGCCCCACGACGATCTCTCTCCCTCAACCCTAACAAAATCCACATCACTTTTGAACAAGCAACAATAAAAGATAATTCTACCATCATGGTTACATGGCTAAATATACTTTTGGTACATATCCAAAAGTAGCCGAAAGGGTAAAATATTCCAGGTTCATTCAAACCAAAAACAAGAACTAAAGTCATCCCATAAATTTATTCCTATCTAATGTAAGTGAGCTTTAAATTTGCAATACAACTGCATTCATTTGTAAGTTCTGGTACACTGGACCTGATCACTATTTGCAAAATAAATATGAAGATGTATAGTCATTTGGTCAACAAGACTGCAATACCATTACAGAATCAACATTTTCCAAATTAATCATGTGTCTCTTTTCCTTTAGAAGGTAAACAAAGGGAATGACTAGTTTACAAGGGCTAGCAAATGCTAGTGTTACCTTAATAACTGAGGTGCAGCGAGCATATGTATTGAATGGAAGAGACATATTAGAAAACCAGCTCTCAAGATTATTTTTCCTACTCCCCTCCTTAGGCCTCTGGAAATAGGAAAACCAATTCTCAATTAAAGATTGATTTTGATGTGTTTCCATTCAGATTAAGAAAAAATATTTGCAAAAATAGTTACAAAGAGGTAATATGAGATATATTAATAGAACTGAACTATCTTAGCACGTCATTGGCTACAAACCTGCCAGTTTCTTTTAATAAGTTACAGTCCCTAAGGTAGTGTAGAGAATTATGGGAAGATGTAGATTGAACTTAATATCTATAAGTGATTCATGATAAATTAGTGAATCAGTACACGGACAGTAATCTTCTAAAAGTTTGTTTCTTATGTTTTCTTTCTGAGGAGAGGAAGGGAGAGGACAGACTTGCTCTTAACCCATCCCAATAAAAGACACAAATGACCTAAGTGACACACCTTTCATTTCAAGAGTCCTGCTAGGAGCCTAAGAGGTACTTTACAGGTTTAGGGGCTTCTAGGTCACTTCTCTGGAATAGACATACCAGACTATCTTTAGGAAGATCTATAAGTCCAATGTCTGCTAACAATGTACCAAACTGAAGACGCATGTCCCTGTAAAAAAATTTAACCTGATTAAATACTTGTAATGTATAAATATATCACACGAGAATTTGTTACTTCTACATTTTTTATGGAAAATTTTAACATATTTTCATAACTAATGGTGCCCAGAAGTAGCTGCTGAATCGACTTCATTTTGCAATATGAGAGATCTGCGTCTAAGGATAACAACATATAACAAGAAAGAAAATCTACCAATTGCTTCCACAGAATCAGTACCAACTAGCTACTCAAAATGATATTCCCATAATTAATGCAACGGAACTGCAACTTTCCCAACCAATAGTTGGGTCTCCTATGTCCACCTACAAGCTTTGAAAACAAAAAATCACACATGATCTCTCAGGAGCATACTTATGATTTATGAGCCTATGCTTATCAACACATGGTCCACATACCAGCTAAACTGCAAGTTATGTACCATATGTTAGTCGTTGAATTCTCACTCTTGGTAGTAGCAGAATTCTTACTCTCATCGAGAGAGGATGACACTAGGGGTTGGGATAATTTTCTGATTTATTTCTCAATGTCATGCCAACCCGAGGGGTTGGGGATACATATTTATAGGCTGCTAGCCAGCCAAGCATATGCTAAGATGCTGTCCTAGATGCTGTCCTCTAGTCTAAGATGCTGTTCTATGCTGTCCTAAAAACAGATCATGCAGCCACAAAGACCATGTGACCACCATGTGACCAGCACAGCCCCACAAAGACTAGCACATGAGACTTATCCCATTATTCTCCTCCTAAATCTTGTGCGTCGTCTTGTGGGAAAGTTGAACCATCCCGGTCCTAGAGCAGAGCTCAAGGAACTTGATCCTCCCAAGGGGCTTGGTGAGCAGGTCCGCAAGCTGGTCCTTGGTGTTGATGTAGCTCGCCTTGATGCTCCCGTCCTCCAAACAGCCTCGGATGAAGTGGTACCTCACCCGGATGTGCTTACTCCGTTCATGGAAAACGGGGTTCTTTGCCAGGGCCAGAGCGGACTTGCTGTCCACCCTGAGCTCCACCGCTCTAGTGTCTCTGCCGAGGAGATCACCAAGCAGTCGAGCGAGCCAGAGCGCCTGAGTCGAAGCGGTGGAGGCCGCTATGTACTCGGCCTCGCAGCTGGACAGGGCCACCACCTGCTGCTTGACCGACTGCCAGCTAACGAGGCACTTGCCGAGGAAGAAGAGGATCCCGCTCGTGCTCTTGCTGGTGTCGATGTCGCCGGCGTGGTCGCTGTCGCTGTACCCGACGAAGTGTGCCGCCCCAGGGCACCTAGGGTAGTAGAGGCCGTGGTCGAGAGTCCCCGCAACGTAGCGGATGATCCTCTTCACAGCCTGCTGTTGCTCCGTTGTCGGTTGCTGCATGAACCAACTAACGTAGCCGACGGAGAATGCCAAGTACGGCCGTGTGTGGGCGAGGTAGCGAAGGCTCCCCACAAGACGCCGGTACTGCGTAGCGTCCACCTCCTCCGTCGTGCTGTCGTGGCTCAGCTTCAGCCTCTCCTTCATCGGAGTGAGAGCTGGGTTACAGTCGGTGAGCCCAGCTAGCTCAACGACACGCTAGGTATAGGCGGTCTGTCGAAGCGTGATCCCGGAGTCATCCTGGTGCACCTCGATTCCCAGGTAGAAGGAGAGAGGCCCCAGGTCACTCATCTGGAAGGTGGCCTTCATCTCTTCCTTGAATGCCGCCACCTCCGCATCCTTGGTGCCGGTGATCACCAAGTCGTCGACGTAGACACCCACCAGCAGGGCATTTCCTCCACTGCCCCGTCGGTAGATGGCCGTCTCGTGCGGGCTTTGCTCGAAGCCCATCCCCTTTAGCGTGGAATACAGCTTGGCATTCCACGCCCTCGGTGCCTGCCGCAAGCCATAGATGGCCTTGCGCAAGTGGAGCACCTTGCCCTCCTTGCCGGGGATTGCAAATCCCAGCAGCTGGTGCACGTAGACCTCCTCCTTCAAGTCACCGTTAAGGAACGCCGACTTGACGTCCATGTGATGAACACGCCAGCCCTCCTGGGCAGCTAGCGCAAGGAGGAGTCGCACGGACTCTATCTGTGCCACGGGAGCAAAGGCGTAGTCGAAGTCGACCCCCTCTTGCTGCACGAAACCTCGTGCCACCAAGCGAGCCTTGTGCTTGACGATGGCACCAGCTTCATCCCTCTTCAGCTTGTACACCCACTTCAGGGTGATCGCGCGGTGACCACGAGAAAGGTTAGCAAGCTCCCAGGTGCGGTTCTTCTCAACCGCATCCATCTCCAACTGCATCGCGGCGCGCCATGCCACTTGTCTCTCGGCCTCTGCAAACGACCGAGGCTCGCCGTCGTCACACGCAAGGTGCAACTATGCCTCAAGGTCGTGAGGCACCGGTCCCGGCACCGGCTGGTCGCCGAGAAGGTTCTCCATCGTACGGTACCGCAATGGCTCGCCGTCGTGGTACGCGTCGACGCGCTCCTCGTCGTGAGAGAGCGGAGTAGCGAGCTCAATCGGGTCGTGCTCGACACGAGCTGGTGGTGGGGTAGACGTGCCCGGAGTGGTGCCTGTCGGTGCTGGAGTGCGTTGCGTTGCCGGTTGTGGTGGAGCCAGCGAAGAACTCATCGCAGCCGAGGTCCTGGCTGGAGAGCGTGGTGCTATCGGAGTAGCAGGCGTCGGGGTCGGTGGAGGCTCGAGGACTAGGGTAGGCGCGCTCGTCGAAGAAGAGCTGCCTACTCCCCTAGCTCCCTCGAAGTGGATGTACGCGACAGTGAAGTCGTCGTACGTCGGAGCCGAGCCGTCGTCCACCGCCTTGTCCCACGCCCATCCTCGCCCTTCGTCGAACACAACGTCGCGCGCCGTGCGCACACGCTGTGTCTTCGAGTCGAGGATGCGGTAGGCCTTCGAGCCCTCCGCGTAGCCGATGAACACTCCCGGAGTGCTCCTGTCGTCGAGCTTGCTGATGTGGCCAAGCTCCTTGGCGAACGTGAGGCAGACAAAGACCCGCAAGTGGGAGACCACCGGCTTGCGCCCATGCCAAGCCTCGTACGACGTCCTGCCGTCAAACGCCTTGGTAGGCGAGCGGTTGAGGATGTAGAAGGCCGACACCACCGCCTCTCCCCAAAAGACAGCCAGCATCCCCTTCTGCTTGAGAAGGGCCCGAGCCATCCCCACAACCGTCTGGTTGCGCCGCTCGACGACGCCGTTTTGCTGTGGACTGTACGGCGCGGAGTAGTGGCGCTGAATGCCCTCATCAGCACAGTACGACGTGAATTTAGCCGCCGTGAATTCGCCGCCGTTGTCGGTGCGCAGCACGCGCAGCTTGCGGCCGCACTCCGCCTCCGCAGCAGCCTGCGAGCGCCTGATGGCGTCCGCAGCCTCTCCCTTGCTGCCGAGGACCATCACCCACATGTAGCGGGAGAGGTCGTCGACGAGCAGCAGGAAGTAGCGTCGTCCTCCCGGTGTGGCCGGTGTCACTGGGCCACACAAGTCCCCGTGCACAAGCTCGAGCCTCTCCTTGGCTCGAAAGCTCGCCCGCTGGGGAAAGGGGAGTCGCCTCTGCTTTCGTCAACACGCAGACGTCACAGAGCTGCTCCACATGGTCAAGGCACGGCAGGCCTCGCAGCATCTCCGTGGCACTGAGCCACTTTAGGGCCTCGAAGTGAAGGTGCCCGAAGCGCTTGTGCCACTGCCACACCTCGTCATCCCGACGAGCAGCGAGACAGAGGGGTTGTGCCACCTGCACGTTGAGGACGTAGAGTCGATTTGCGCTTCTGGATACCTTGGCAAGAAGGCAACGACGGCGATCCCAAATCCTCATGACTCCATCCTCAACCACCACGCGCGAACCGTTCTCATCCAGCTGTCCCAAGTTGATGATGGAGTTCCTCAACGCGGGGATGTAGTAGACTCCGGTGAGCAGCCTGTGCTCACCAGACACGGCGGTGAAGATGACGGAGCCGACACCCTTGATCTCCACGCCGGAGGCATCCCCAAACTTGATGGAGCCTCGGACGCTAGAGTCAAGCTCGGTGAAGAACTCCCGTCGACCAGTCATGTGATGGGTGGCGCCGGTGTCGAGGCACCACCCGTCAGTCTTGTCATTGCCGGAGCTGTCGCCGAGGAGGGCGTGTGCTTTTGGCTCGTCAAGGTGGAGGAGAACCGCTGTGGTTGGTGCCACTGGGGGTAGCTCGATGCTTGCATGTGCCATGAACAGAGCTGGCTCCTCCTCCACTTGTGCGACGTGGGCCTGGCCGTGTCGTGGCTATCGACAGTCCTTGGCCCAATGGCCAAGCTGGCCGCAGTTGCGAAAGGTGTCGTCTCGTGCCGGCTTGTGCCTGCCGGCGGCGCCGCCCTGGGCGCCTCCACGGGCATCACCCTCGGCATGTCCTCGCGCCCCGGCCTGGGCGTCTCTGCGCGCCTTGCATGGCTAGCGATCGCCTGTCGCGGAAGAAGGCTCCCCCTTCTTTCGGTCACCTTGGCTGGCAAGCCACTGCTCCCGAGTGAGAAGGAGCTTCCCGCCGGTGGTGATGGGCCCCGAGAGAGACTGTGGCTCATCGCTGTCGACGACCTTGAGGCGACCTATTGCCTTCTCAATCGACATCGTGGAGAGATCCAGCAGGGACTCGATCGAACGAGCCATCTGCTTGTACTTCGTGGACGCAAGACAAAAGAGCTTTTCGACAGCTCTCTCTCTCCGTAGTAGGTGTCATCGAATGAACTGCACCATCTTACGCAATGAGTGTTGAGATGGAGAGCAAAGTCATCAATGTCCTCACCGGCTTGAAGGCTGTCTCCCCCCCTTGCGAAGTGCTGCGCTTGCGCTCGCAGCGGGATCTTGCGCGCGATGGCGTCGCCTCGGCGATCCGCTTGTTGGTAGCGATGATGGCGCCCCAAGCCTCCTTTGGCGTGATCCGCTTGTTGGTAAGCGAGAACTACATCTCGGCGCGGGATCGAAGCGCAGCTGGCGAGGGCATCCAGCGCCCATTGATCTAGGTCGTAGTCGACGCCGCCAGACGAATCGCCTCCCACATGTGCCGCACTGAGCTTTTACCCTCATCACCGCAGCCCACTCGACGTAGTTGGTCTTGGTGAGGGTAGGCCACCCACCGCCGGGACCGACGCCCCTGACAACAGCCTGGAGCCCGTGGTAACCACGGTACCGATCCGGGAGAGAGCCACGCTGCCTGTGAAGGCCGCTCTCCATCGACCCGTCGCCACCGATCCGGGAGAGAGCCACGCCGCTCGCCCGAAGGCCGTGTCTCCATCGACTCGCCCGCCACCGCTGCGCTCGCGCATCTCCAGAGCGCCGCGGCGCTGCCCTGCTTATCTTGCTCCGCCGCCATCTGCGCGGCGCCCCCAGAGCGCCACCGCCGTCGCGCTGTCCGTGAGCGCCGCCAAGGTCGCCTCGCTTCGTGGCCGCCACGCCAGCGGGCGGCACGGCTGCCCATCAGCGCCGCCACCAAGGCCTCCCTCTCTCTAGTAGCTCGAGGTCCACGCGTCGGCGGTGTCGTCGCGGCGAAATGGAGCTGCCGATGTTGCCGCTGCAGAACCTCGACCTCACCCGCGCCAGACACGCCGCATTCGCCACCGCCACCGCTTCGCCTCCGCTCTAAGCTGCCGCCCGCCCCGCCCACGCCATCCTCGACGCTTCCTTGCCGCCAGAAGCGGTTCTCTGCCGCCGCTCAAGGCGTTCCTCTGCTGCCGCGGCAAGTTCGGCCTCCCTACGACGCCACAGCGTGCTCGGCGACCGAAGCGCCGAGCGCCCTTTACGGACATGGCGCTGCTACTGGGCTGCTTGCGTGGGGAGAGGGTTTCTTTGCTAAATCTGCTGGGAGGAGTGCAGAGCGGCGGAGTCGCCGCTTTCGCATTGCAGGGGCTGTTGTGTGGCTGGAGAGGAGATGAGTAGGAGATGCTCAGGCTACAGGATAGTACGGCTCTGATACCAGTTGTTAGTCGTTGAATTCTCACTCTTGATAGTAGCAGAATTCTTACTCTCATCGAGAGAGGATGACACTAGAGGTTGGGATAATTTTCTGGTTTATTTCTCAATGCCATGCCAACCCGAGGGGTTGGAGATATATATTTATAGGTTGCTAGCCAGCCAAGCATATGCCAAGATGCTAGTCTAAGATGCTGTCCTAGATGCTAAGATGCTGTCCTCTAGATGCTAGTCTAAGATGCTGTCCTCTAGTCTAAGATGCTGTCATATACTGTCCTAAAAACAGACCATGCAGCCACAAAGACCATGTGACCAGCACAGCCCCACAAAGACCAGCACATGAGACTTATCCCATCACCATAACCATGTAAGGCATGCATAAAGTGCAAAGATATAATGACATTAAAAAAAAGTCAGATGGATTTCAATAAAAAAATAGTTAAATAATCTCCAAAAACCAAAAAAAAAAATTGCAGGATCCAATATCTAATGACAACAGATATTTTAAAGAAGTTCCTGAGCACATTCATATATCTTCTGAGTAATACAGAAAATAAAAATAATTCTTCATATATATATATAACTGATTTAACTTCTGAGGAAATGAACCTGATCATGTGCATCACAGTATTATTCAAGTAGAATGAATGGCAAAACTGACGAGCAGATTTAGCACCATTCTGAAATTCAAAAACCAGCTTATTAGAAATCCTGCCAGCAGCAGTTTCATAATATAATCTACCTACTACACAAATCATGTACAAGAAAAAATTAGTATAAAGCAATATAATGCATACACACCAAAAGCTACCAAATAATAGAAAAGGTGTATTATTACAAAAAAAGTAGTTTATGACCTGTAGCAGTATCCGGGACCATTTGTCATACGCAATTACCAATAGCAGGTGATCTGATTGTTTATTATCTGTTACAGAAGTAGATCCATCAAGGTTCTCATTCAATAATGTGGCTTTTGCTTTCTCCACATTTTGCTTCTGTAGTATAAATAAAAAATTCATGAAATGTCAGGGCACATCTTGGTTGCATAAATTGTTCATCATTAAGTCACATAATACCTCATCTTTTGGAGAGAGAAATGGAGATTTATAACTCAGAAAAGCAGCAACAGACAGAATTGGTGATAGACAACCGAAGATAGCACCATAAAGCATCATCTGCAACCGCATATGAAAAATGAATCAGAATATCAATATGCAAAAAAGAAAAGAAAAGTTCCATAAAGAATTATAAATTCACAAGAAAATGCATGAAGCAGAAATAGTTAACTACATCTAAGTTTTAAGAACCCTGAAGTTGCTGCAGATTCATACGAAAGTGCATAAGAACCCTGAAGTTGCTACATATATGGTGGTGTCTGTGTGTGTGTGGGTGGGTGGTGGTGGGGGTGTGTGGGGGGGGGGGTTGAGTATGGTAAATTTCCTATAACTGTATATATATGAAAAAGGGTGTTGCCTACAGAAATCAAAGTGAAATAGAACTGTCGAAAAGCCTGATCTCGATAAGTAACTTTAGCATTTCTTGACCAAGGCTAAATTCAGGCAAGGATCTACTGGTAAATAAGCAGGCCATGAGCCTAAACCAAAGCACAGTCTTGAGTTTAAGCAGTTCAGTTGTGTTCAAACTGAGCTCAAGTTTATGTTATCATATGCAATTCGTAATTGTGAAAGATGCATGCATTTTATTGTTAGCGAGCTCACTTCAGACAAGCTCAAACTCCGAACATGAGCTTACTCAAGCTTGGCTCTTTGACAGCCTAATGTGAATTCTTGTACAGAAGACAATGCACAGGAAAATTAGTGGTGGTGGTGGTGGTGGTGGGGGGGGGATAACGTAACATGCACGCACAGAGCATTCAAGAGATGTGTCGTGTGACAGAATTAGGTAGTTTCACCGAAATTTCAAATTGCCATTTTCCTTGAAAGTATTTACAGAACTAGAGCCAGGAGGATTTTATCAACAGAAGACCGGATCCGGCGGTCCAAGGACCGGATCCGCGTGGATCTCCAGCAGGCAGCGCCTGGGCGGGCGCTGGGCGTCGGTGGTGGTGGCTCCTGTCCAGGGCACTGCGCTGTCGCCGGATCCGCGGGGTTCGGGGCGCGCGCGGTGGCGGCTGCGTCGGCCTGGGACGGGCCTCTTCCTCTTCCTCGCGCTCGGCAGTGTTGGCGGCGTGCACTGTAGCGGGCGGCGGGGCTTGCCCTCGCGCGAGCCGCGTGGGGCTCGGCGGGGCAACCTGCTGCTGCTGCGGCGGCGCTGGCCAGTGCCCGTGCGGGCGCCGGGCGGTGGCGGGGACTCCTTTTTCCTCCTCCGCTTCCCCCTTTCCTCCTCGACCTTGGCGTGGAGGCGGCGGTGCCTGCTGGGGACACTGGATCTGGCGCCACGGCCACATCCGGTGCCCCCGGGGCAGGGGGCGGCGCCCGTGGTGGGGCATGCGCCTGACGGTGGCTGGCGGAGGTCGGCAGCGTCGACGGCGGGTGCTTGTGCCGGCGACGGTAGCTGGCGACGGCTTCGGCGTGCGGCAGGGTGACGCGCGTGGCAGGGTAAGTCCAGTTCTGCATGTTGCCCGATCGGAGGGGGTGGCGGCCGACGACGGTGTGTCGCGGGTCATTGTGTGCGAAATGGTCGCGTCGATGCCCCTCTGGAGAAGCTTCTGCGGGATGGCAGTGACGACGACGGTGGCGACAGGCTACGGTCCAGCATCTTGGCTCGACGTATGTGCTAGGGGCACCTCGGGCGAAAGCCTTGGCGACGGCGACGCCTGTGGGCGCCGTTTTCCTTGTTGGGGGCGTCGTGTTCTTGTGCCCCCAGCCATGTCTTCCACGGGTGAAAACCCGGTCCTTTCCTGGACAAGCGACGGCGACGCATTCGGCGTCGTACCCTTCCTGAAGGCGTCGCTGTGGAAATTCGTCTCGGCCGTGATGTCTCCTTCGGCGGATGTCCTCCGCCTCTCGGCGCCCGGTTGATGCGAGACGGCGAGTTCTGCATCGCGAAGTCGGAGCTGCTGCATCAGGGGATGTAGCTCGGCAACGATGACGCGTGTCGAACCCTCCTTCTCCGACGGCTGGGTTTTCAGCTTTAGAGGCTCGGCAATCGCCGCGGGCGGGGCGTGGGATCATGGCAGGAAGTCGGAGCTGCTCTTCGCGGGGCCGTTGAGCTCGGCAACGATGACCTGCTGCAGCCTACTGCTTCGGCCCGTTGGTCTGACATCTTATGATGGGTTGTCGGTGTTTTGCCATGGGAAGTCGGAGCTGCTAGCTGCTTTGCAACTATGCTCGGCAACGATAACTCATGGTAGTGTGTACTCTGTCGCGTTGCGTGGGTGGGTAACCTTTCGTGGTGTTTGACGCCACGCTTGGCTACCTTTTGCTTGTATATAAACTTCATTCGTCTTAATTGAAAGGCAAAGCTCCTGCCATTGTTAAAAAAAAAAAGATTTTATCAACAGAGCAATGCAGCGAAGGCACACCGCCGTTCACAGCAGGCCGCAAGTGGGAGTCCACACTGGCAGCAGCCATGGGCGGGAGCCCACACGGCCGGGAAAAAGGGAGGAAAAAAAGGAAAAAAAAGGAATTGCTCGGATCGTGTTCTTTGAAGAAACAGGCACGATTGTAACTCTCTAATACGTGCAGCTGTGCGTGTGGTGTGCCATGTGTTTTTGGGTGCGTTGTACTTGCAGCTTTCCTGCATATTCGAGAAATAAAAGGGTGAGTAAACTATATATTTTAGCCACACCTTTCCAATCACAACATCAACAGGCAGTTTGGCCAGATGATACCCAAGAGGTGACAACTCTTCATGTCCTTCAAATGCTCCGACCTAGACAAAACAATAGCAGCATAGCCATAGAGTTTGCTTGAGACCAGAGAACTACCAAAAGAAAAGCCAAGATTGCCATGCATACTTGTGCTTCTCACAATGCATACATGTATTACGGGTTAATAAACAGAAAGAGAACACAACCTTGTATAGCAAGTCAACTGCAGAGGAAATAGCTTCTTCATTAGGGGGCTCTACTGCCTGGAGCAAAACAAGATAATATGTGATAACAAGGAATGACATGTGTAACAACAGAACTAACATAAATATAGCTACTACTAAGTACGTCGCAACAGACTCTACAAAAGGTGAACATGAACTCAACCTTTCTTGCAAAAGTTACAGAGAAACTTGAGGATATTGCATAGAATGTGATGAGATCAAAAGTAAATGGTGAAAAGCAGAGGGAAATGTACCTTTAGCAGGAAGGATTTGATGTCACCAAGATGAAGTGATTTTATTTGCAGGCACAGCTCAGTCAAAGGCATCCGTAGCATCTCAGGCACCTTCAAGCATGTAGAGTGAATATAAATTCCCAAAGACTATGTGCTATTCAGGAAAATCTTGATAGCCTTGGCCAATGATATTAACTAGCTCATTTGTGTCATAGAAAAGCATATTTTCATATCTTACAAATTACTACTATAACCATATGCAGAGAATGTGGGTTTGCAAATTGCAATCGTTGGTATAAACTGCCCTAAAAGAATTTGATTGATATATTGGAGATGGATTAGCAGGGTGAGACAGCAAACAAGGAAACAGAAAAGCTTATAAGAACAAAAAATCACCATATAATGAATACTGAAATGGTCAAGGTGGCGAGGTGCCATGAAAGATAACTGGGATATATGAGTGGCAGAATAAGGGAACATTAGGAAAATATATATATATAACTAACGCCAATGGTAACCTGAAATGGCCGCATGATGTTTTCAAACCGATGCCTTGTATACAAACAGAAACATAAACCAGGCTTCACACGACCAGCCCTACCCCGTCTCTGTTTTGCATTTGCACGAGAAATCCAATCTTCAACTATGCTTGACATTTTCTGCAAAGATAAAATAAAGCAACCAATAACAGACTTTACTTTATATTATATCTATAATCAATGCTCATTATTGCAACTTCTAAGATTATATTGTTTCATAACTACATTATGTCAACAGATGCATAAGGAAGTAACAAGAGCTCATGCACAAAAACTAGAACTGTCAAACTACATAAACAATCATATTGAGCACCATGTGCATTTTACTTCGGGGCTCTTGGGATAATGAATATAAAAGTCCAAGTGTGCAACCAAAACATGAGCTGAACACAATGTAGTACGCATGGTAGAAGACTATAACTATGAATTCCACTATTAGTGTCAAGGCATCAAGCACTAGCCCATGTGTTCATTTACAACTTCTTTTATGTTGTTTTTATGGAAGTGTAATACAAGAAGCAAAATCTATTGGTTACAGCTCCAGAAGAACAAGTAGAAAATGAAACTCTGTAAGTGCAAGCACCACTGAATAAAATGAATGTTGAATAGATGGTTTGGGGACCTGAGGGGAATTTTTGGTGTTAGATAGACCAGCTAATGTTGTGTCTTTATTTAACTCTAATATATCAGCCAGAGTCACTGGGAACATTAAACGGCGTTGCGTTCCTGGTCCCAAGAACAATCTTGTCCCTGCCACGTAAAAACATTTCTCAAGTAACACAGGAGTTTGGCGACATAGGAATTGGGATCACCTTGTATTTTTTTTTGTACAAACTACTGAAGGACTCACCCAAAATTCTTTAATATCTAACATTCTAACCCGTAAAACATTGTTTCAGCAAACAATGTTAACCACAGTTTTATCATGGACAAATTTGTCAAGTGCTCTTTCAGTAAATCTGGATTGCACCATTCAGTCAATTGAACCATAAAAAAACTTCTAGAATATAGAAATCCTTAGGAAAAGATTATGCAAATTGTAAATCCTGTATTTTTCCCCCAAAATTATAGGTAAAAAATAAGAGAAAACTGACCTTGCGTGGATTGTAACGGTTCTCCTTGTGCTTTCCAGTATCAACTACATATATTACATCATCAATTGTAATGCTGGTCTCTGCTATGTCTGTGGCAATAATAACCTGCAACACAACATGAAGTAAGATGCAGTAGGTGTCAGTCTGCGAGGACAGGAGTGGGCATAATCACCTTGCGGAAGTTATCTGGTGGAGACTGGAACACTTTCCTTTGATCAGAGGGTCCAAGTAGTGAATGTAAAGGAAGGATCCAATCAGATGATGCCCCTCCAAATCTAACTGAAGCAGATAATCTATCAATCAACAAGTCAATCTCTGCAACTCCCTGTAGCAGCATCAATGGAAGAAAAGAACTAAGATATATATTAGCAAACAAAGCACTAAGCTGATGTGGTGTCATCATAAACTTACAGGAAGAAAAACAAGAATAGCACCCAGAGGACAGTTCTCATCAATATAGCATATCAAGTCTTCCAATAGATCGAAATCAATCACATCTTCATTCAAGCGTTTCTGTGTTAATAAAAGAAGATTCAGTCAGAACAAAAACATTATTAGAGAAGAAGGATGCCATACATATGGATCAAGCAATGGAACTCACTAGATTTTGGTTGGTTCTCTCATTATATGACTTATAGTAATCAGAAATATAATGAGGGTTAATATAGCCTTCGGAAAGTGTTGACTCATCGCCCCATGAGGATAAGACAAGGTTCTTTTTTCCTCATCGGTTATTCACTGAGCTGCTAGCATGCTTCCACTGGAGCAGAATCAAACAGATTAAAGGTAAGTATAGCATTAATGATCAGAGACACAATAAATGCCTGTTGGCACAGCTCAGCTCCAAGATTTTTTTGAAGCTACATCCTATCTCCAGAAATTCTTGGGGCTGGAGCTGTGGGCACACAGAACGTATTTGGTTGAACAATTTAGTTATTACTTTGGATGAAAAACATGTGATTAAACCACTTTATTTTATCCTATAAACTACAAATCCTACATGGACCTCAGAGATGAAGCTGTACCAAACAGGGCCTAGTATAATGGATGTCAACTGGTTAGCTCACCGGATAAGAAGGGCAGTGACAGAACATACCACTGTGAAAAAACATAACATTCTCTTTCCCCTAAGATAGCACTATATATCAAACAGGGAAACCCCAACTTAACTATAACTTTATTGGAAAAGAAGTTGCAGGAGAGTGCAGGACCAACAAGATTTTTCATACTTTTGTAATAGAAGTGTAGAACTGTTAGATATGTATATATCTACTAGGGGTCTAATTTTATATAGCTTCTTGCAACTGAAGTCACTTGTGACTATATATGAAAGCCACCCAACCCAAGGGGTGTGTGAGATGTTTCGTTATTCTCTACAAGAACACAGAGGAAGACCAAAAGAACAAGCCTATATCTACAAAAATAATGAGAAATAGGGACATATACAAGATTTAGCTATTCAAATGAAAGTGAAACAGTAATAAGCACAGGGCTCCAACTAATGAAGAATGTGTACTCTATCTATTGTGAGCTATCCTGCGTATTTGAGAAAAAGAATTGGGAATATGAAACCTTTTCCCTATGCTGTGCGAAGTATGCTCCTGATGCAGGAGAATCCAATGCAAGACAGTACTCCATTTTCTCATAAACATCCTCAAGGAAGTGAGTTGACACTGGATGTGTTCTTCCTTCAACACTAATCACGGGGCACTCTCCAAAATATCGTGCAAATAGGCTTGAATCAACCGTTGCAGACCTAATTAATGATTATGAACAGAATAGGAATAAAACAAGATTAGAAGGGCAAAACAGTAAGAAAGTGAATGCAAAATTTATATAAGTAGTAAAAATATTAAACCGGGAAGAATTGTACATGAGAATCACTTTCAACTTCCTTCCTTGTTGATTGGAGCGTTTCTCAATGAGATTCTTAAGAACAGTAAGCAGGAAGTCACTCTGAAGGGAGAAATAAAGATCGTTCAAGTACCTCATCCAGCATAGGAACATATTAGACGTTTTGTAACACAAAAACGGATAAAACACATGAATACATACCAAAATTGTACGTTCATGTACTTCCTCTACAACAACATGAGTAACATCACTTAAGTCTCTGTTTCCCTGAAACATATAGCATGGATAACAAAATCATATTTTAGCAATTATTAAGGCATGATCCGAAACTGGATCCCTTCTTTTCATTAGCTGAAAGGCTTATATAGAGAAAAGGCAGCTTCACTTATATCAGACCAATGACAAACTGATATCACCTTTATATGTGATTTAAAAAATGCATCAAATGTTAACTATTATGCTTATGAAGGCACTACTTAGTACTTACAGATAGTTTTCTGAGAAGGATACCAGTAGTACAGAACAAAAGCTTTGTCCTCTCATTCCTAAAACAATAGAAAACATTAGACATGGGTAAACCCCTACTGTGGTATATATATTAGATATGAACCTTAAAGGAAAAGAGGTAAAATAACAAGGAAAATCCCAGGGGGTAGCACTCAAGAGTTTCCACCCAAGAGAAAATATCAGAGATATTATATACAAAATTAGAAGTTATGCTTATAAAACCTGTGCATATGAGAAAGAAACAGACCGTGCACTGTCAAGACGAACTTGATATCGGACCAGTGAATCATTCGATCCAGGTGATGATTCACACCTTTCATCAGATACTCTTTCGCCACAGAAATAGCCTACACATACGTGAGACCAATCCAAGTTATATTTGACTATAACTGTTCGATCAAATAAAGGTACATGGGTGGTTTGTGATCATGTAAAAAGTAAAGTTTGAAGCTTTAGCAAATATGGAAAGAGTGACCACCACAACAAATGGTCTCCTGATAATGCAATATTTCAAAAGTTACAATGTGGGATTCAATATATAGCATTGCAAGTGATTTCATTAATAAGGCATGCAACTTTTGCATGATACCATTATTAATTTTATGATGATGACCTCCTGGAAGAAAAGATAAAGAACTGCACTGTGATCGTACCGCTATCCGTCGGGGCTGTGTGCAAACTATATTGCAAGAACCTCCAAGTTCAGATTCAATCATGTCATCCAAAATAAACTGTGGCACCTGCAAAGATAAGAACAGAGACAATAATGCATAAAACAAAAATAAAATCCGTTTGATTCAAAAATGGAGATTTACAATGATATTAGTTGGTTAGCAGTGTTAAGTGTTAACTCTACCGTTCCCAAAAAAATAGAGCCAGCAACTGCTAACGGCTTAAGGCCGGCTACCAGCCTTACTGGTTCAGTTTATGTTTATCCTAACTTTGACACAGTAGATTCACTAGCCTGGTGGGGACAATGTGCACTTGCAAAGCAGAGGCTGAAGGTTGAGCTCCCTCCAACTTCTGATTGCAAATTAACCACTTGAAGTGGGGCCTGCAGGGCTGCATGTAATTGTTGTGCCTTGGAAGAAATATTGAATAGCCATGTGAGAACCGAATCCACAACCAGAACCTTGCCCAGGACAGACAAGAGGGTAATGGCTGTGGTAGCTAATGCATCGTGTTGTCATCTCTGACTTCTGGGTTAGAGACTTGCAAAGTTAAAATGAAACCATTTTTTCTTTCTTTTTGCCAGTTTATACAGCTACCAAGTCCCACAGGTAACTGCAGGTACCAACCCTGTTTGTTAACACAATCCCAAAGGTAAAAAATTGTATAAATGGCACGTCCATATCATGACCTCATGAGTATAAAACTTTGTGCTGGATGTGTAAACAATTATCCATGCTTATTACAACAAGCTTGTTCAACACATCAGGTATAATTGCTTTAGAGGGAAAAGTATCAATTTTGGCAAATAAGTGGAACTTCAGAGAAACATATCCAAGACACTGCTAGTTTGAGAGAGAGAGAGAGAGAGAGATGTCACTCTTAGACGTAAAACAGGCAATGGCAAGAAATGAAACGGCAACAAACAAAAATATTGGGACTGCATGACTGCATATGCCATAATCATGTACCCCTCTTTATGATTCAACAATAATTTGAAAACAAAATTATTCCAAAGGAGACATACAAGACTGAAACAAATTGTCTATATAACGTACTCATCTACAACAGAGATATGGTTTTATGATATGATGCACAAGATGCTTTCCCCTCGGAATAGTCATTTTGTAATGACAATTGACATTCAAGAAGGAAACCATTGCCACGGAGCATAACAAATTGTGGGGAAGAACTCAAATAAAATGGTAGCACAGGTACCTGAGTTGTTTTCCCACATCCAGTTTCTCCAGTAACAACAACTACATCGTTCTCTTTCAGCAACTGTAGGAAGTGTTGCTTCTGTCTAGCTATTGGTAGAGAAGCTCTTGCTTCCAGCATTTTCTAAATTCAAGGTGAAAACAAAAAATCATTAGTAACAATACAAAAGAAGCAGCGCTTAATTCTAAACCAAAAAAATATTGTTATTAGATTGCAAATCCATTGCTTACCAAGTAATTTGGTAGCTTCCTTTTATCTTCCAACTGCTTTTTTAAAATTGCACTCTCTGCATCCTCTGCTGATTTCAATCCTATTGTGGAAGAAAAACAAATCACATTTTAATTATTAGCAGATAGAAGAAACAAAACTACAAAAATGACAGGAAGCTTTATTCATTTGACCATTTCACTCAGAAGAGGGAATATGAGAAACCATATGAATTGTTAAGTTGCACGCACCAACCAATTCAACCCAAAAGCTTAAGCTATTAGGAAGAGGTGGACAATGCACTTATACACACTTCAACACCCCCACTCACGTGCAGCACGGGAGACGCGCGCAGCCAGAGAGAGGCATGGCAGCCTGAGAGGCGCAAATGTGGAAATAAAGGGGCGGAGAACTTAAGTTGCCTCTACCAGGATTCGAACTCGAGACCTCTGGTTCTGATACCATGTTAAGTTGCACGCACCAACCAGTTCAACCCAAAAGTTTAAGCTATCAGGAAGACGTGAGCAATGCACTTACACACTTCAACTGGAATATGATAGGAAATCAAAGCTTATAAAATAGAAGACATGAATTTCGATAGACAAATTCACGATTCCATATGATTCATCCTGAAAAGTGGCAAGGAAACAGATTCCATATGATAGCAACCTTATTGATGCCCACTGCCCACAAAGTGCAAGGAAATGAAGAAGGTAAATGTAATTGTTCAATATGTGTCGGTGTTTTGAGTAAACACCAACGAGTAAATTTGTATTATTGTGCGTCTGGCCCGGATGGTATGCTAAGAAGACACAAGGTTTATACTGGTTCGGACAAAATGTCCATACGTCCAGTTCGTGACTGCTGCTCGTGTTACTAGCACTGAAAAGTTCATAGTAGGGGGTTACAAACTGGCGAGAGATGGAGGAGCTCCCAAGTCTCTGTGGTTAGGTTGCTCGTTGCTTCTACTGCTCGATCTATCGGTCGATTGATCTCTTGCGGTGCGATGTGCGATGACCCTTAGTGGGGCATACCGCTTTCCCTTTTATAGGCCAAGGGAAAGGGGGTTTACAACGAAGGGGAAGAGGGAAAAAGAGAGAAATAAGGCTCCTCGGGGTGTGTGCCGCCCTCCTCTTCAGCGTGGGTCCCGCCGACCACAGAGATCGTGGTGGCGCTGACGTCGCCTTGGGTCCTGCTATTGGCCGCAAAGATACGTCGCGCAGCGTCGTGGCGCCGTTCTTGTCTACCATCCCATCCGAGTGGACGGAATGGTCAAAAGGTCCCCAGACAGAGGCCGGGACCGGCGGTACAGTGCCAGTCAACTGATGCCGGTCGACTGGCGTTGGACGGTGGTCAGGCAGGGAGTTGGCAGCACAGTGCTGGCCTATTGACGCGGTGGGCGATGTGAGACTCCCAGCATGGCCTGATGTGACCGCCAGTCGCATCAGGACGCGTCCGAGACGTGCTCCCAGCGCGCGCGCCCATTCCGTAGTGGTTGAAGCGGTTCAGTCCCACCACAGGGCCATTGCTTTTGTTTGGTAGCAAATCCACCCCTAGGGAACAGGCGAGGGCAAATCGGCCACAGGGGCGGGCGAGACGGAATCCTACCCTCAGGGGTCGGGCGAGGCGGAGCCCTCCCCGTGGGGCCAGACGAGTCGGAGCCCACGCCCTGGGGTCGGATGAGTCAGAACCCACGCCTTGGGGTCGGACGAGGCGGAAACCTCGTCCTCGGAGTCGGAGCCCACGCCTTGGGGTCGGACGAGGCGGAAACCTCGTCCTCGGAGTCGGAGCCCACGCCTTGAGGTCGGACGAGGCGGAAACCTCGTCCTCAGAGTCGGACAAGGTGTGGCCCGGCCCCTGGGGTCGGACGAGGCGGTTAACCTCATGCTCGGAGTCGGACGAGGCGTGACCGCCCTAGGGTTGGACAAGGCGAAAACCTCATCCTCGAGTCGAACGAGGCGTGGTCCGCCCCAGGGGTCGACGAGGCCGCAATTAAATCTTTAAACATCGGATGAGCCGACATGACGCTCATTAATCCTTTGGCTCGGATACCCGGGTATAGATATCCGACAATATGCTACAAAGTAATATATGTCATTATGAATGACAACCTAGCATGCCTTGGAAGGGAAAAACGATAATCATCGGTAAGCAAGATTGCTTGTGACATTATTCTGAAATATGTAAATGTTATGAAAGCTTACCCATACAACTCATCATGGTAATCTGTCTCTTCTCATTCACAGATTTGCTGCCTTCAGTATTCCCAGAATCCATAGATATGCCATCAGTCGAAGAATTTTCTATTTCAGATGAAGGAATTGTATCTGCATCTATATTCAATAACATATCTACAAAGCTAGATCTTCCGTATTTTTTTTTGCTTTTTAGCCCTTTTTTGAAAAAAATTCACAAATATACCCCTGGAGGTATGCTTTCAAAATCTGGACCCTTAGCTCGGCGCCATCTTTGGGGGGCGCCGAGCTTACACGTCTCGGCGTCATAGATTTTGGCGCCTAGGCCTTAGGGTCGGCGCAGACGTGGCGGTGACTTGGCAGGCACCTTGGCGCCGTAGATCTTAGCGCCGAGGTTATTGGCGCCGAGTCCTGTCTTACGTATGGGCCCTTCCTTTCTCTCTACGGCTCCCAAGCCAGGGCACCGCCAACGCTGCCGTACTGCCGCGCCCGCCGCCATGCGTAGCCCTGGTCATCCGCGCCCTAACCCAAGCCCGCGCCTGCCGTGCCGTCCACCCGTGGCCCTAGCCCACTCGTGCTGCCTCACCATGCGGAGCGCCGGCCGTCCCGCGCCCGCCGCGCATTGCCCCTCCAGGCCCGCGCCCGCACCGGCCCCTGCGTCGCCCCTCCCGGCCCACGCCGCCTCATCCGTCCCGGCTCGCCACGTCCGCCATGCGCATAGGTGCTCCCTCCGGCGACCCCGGCCGCGACCTCGCCGTCGATCCCGTCCTCCACATCCCCATCCTGCTCCAGTCCCCGCGTCCGCGTTGCATCGTTGCATTGACTTGGACAGGTAAAATTTTTGAATATGCAATGTAGCTACTTAGTTAGCTTGAATTGTAGTGCTACTTTGATTATTTGGTAGTTTTTAGTAAATTTGATGATGTAGGTAGTTGATTTAGTTAGTGAGATAGATATAGTTAGATAAATATAGTTAGATAGCTAGTGACATAGGTACATAGATATAGTTATTAGATAGCTAGTTGATTTAGTTAGTGAGATAAATATAGTTAGATAGCTAGTGACATAGTTATTTAGGATGTAGTTGGTTAGTATCTATTAGAGAGGTACTATATAGCAGCTACTTTGGACTAAATGAACTGTATTTCAAATTTTTGTTTGAACTACTAGATGGACAACCTAGTGAGCATATATCATGAAGGCACCGTGAAAAGAGATCGCTATGGATATGCTGAGTTTGCTGAGATGCAAAGCGTGCCTGTGTTATTCAATGAGAAGCCTTCATTTAGTGAGTGCGTGCCGACGATGAAGACACGGCGTACGACTAAACTACTCGTGTAGGAAGACAGGTGGAGGCAGGACCAATCTTGGATAGAGTGGTAAGTCAATTGCCTTATTTTTCTATGTTAAGTTGTATACCAATACATTCTGTGTTTAAGGTCTCTATTTTAGTTAGTGTCACCTTCGAGTCATAGCATCTTTATAATTCAGTACAACAGATGGAGTTAAGGAACTGGTCAGGAATTAACTAGTACTCCGTACTAGATTAGTAGCGTCCTCATTTTTCAATGTCCACCACAATCTTACTGTGAACTTTGTTGCAGGGTAATACCCTCAAATGCTCGGTTGAAGACATTGAGCGCTTTCATCCGAGTCAGGGACGACGACACGCGTAGCTTCCTAGATGTAAGATTCAAAATATTCTTTGAAATATATTATTAATACGTTAAATTCTTTCAGTTAACATTATTTTGTACAACAGAGACTGTCACGTCGGCTACGCCGTGCGGCTGCTCGTTGTGGTTGCAGGACAGCCACGACGCAAGACGTGCACGTTCCTTCCGTAGACAGAGGAGGCTTAGGTTCAACTAGCCAAACACCTACAGGGTCCATAGGCATTGCGTACGAGGATGAGGACGACGACGAGGTGGACCAGAGGCACGAGGAGTTTGGCCCGTCTCAACTCCAGGACGCTCCCTCGACTCAGCCTGCACAGCCTTCAGGCACTAGGCGACGCCGTCCACCTGACCCTTACACTCTAGGCACCGACGCTCTTAGTCACAAGGGTAAGGGTAAGACTAGGAGGCAGTGAGGGTTTATGGTAGATGTTATTATGTAGTATTATGGACTTTGTGGACTTTCATTATTAACTATTGTGGACTGTATGGACTATTATTATCGAATATGAACTACTATGTACTGTGTGGACAATTAATATGCTCATGTATATGGTGTCAGATGAATGTGGCATATATTTGTATGTTTGTACATGTTGTATTGAGGTTAAATATTCATCTCATATTTGTGTATGGATGGCATCAAAAAATAGGGGAAATTATGACGAAATTTTCTGCCTGAACTATTAATCAACGGCATCAGTTTTTCCGGTTCAAAATAGTGATTGATGTCTGAAATCGAATAGGTTTTTCAGTCATAGAATCTAGGAGAAATAGCCTTTACAGTGATTTGTCATGTCACCGTTGAATAGATTTTTCAGTGTCCTTCGACATAGTGATTGAAGTCTGAAATCAAATAAGCTTTTCAGTCATGTAATCTAGGCTCTCCATTGTCCTACGATGTAGGCTTTTCAGTGATTCTGAGTAGACTTTCCAGGAGCATTTATAGTACAATACAACGGCTAGCAAACTTGCCTCCGCCTATATATATGCGTTCTAGGATGCATTGCTAAACAAAAGAAAAACCAAACTAGTATTTAGTTTCGTTGGAGTAGGAATGTCTGGAGGGTCATCTAGAGGAAAGGGTTTCGGGAGTGGGAGAGGAAAGGGGAGGATGAAGGAAACTCCCATTGTGTGGGAGGGGTCTCTTGAGCCTGATTTCTTTGAGGAACTAGTGTATCAATTTCCTCTCGAGAGCAAGAATGATTTCACTAAAGAGTGCCCTCTCAGAGGATACGATAACAGGAAGGAAGATTGGCCAAAATACATGCATGGTGAGGACTGCTTAGTGCAGATGTTCACCTAGGGGATCGACGGAGGTCGTCGCTTTTTCAAATGCCCGCGAGCATGGGTAATTGTTATTACATTTCGTTTGTTAAATATGTTTCTCGAATACCCTTACAACTCACAGGACATCCTTATTGTAGTCTTCCGAGTCCGAAGAAAATTGTGAGTTCACTGGGTGGGTCGATCCTCGACCAATTTATCCGCATCGGCAGTACATCTACTACCTGCAGGACCAAATCTTCGATCTACAAAGGGAAATTAGCAGCGGGTACAAGGAAGACGAAGATGATGACAACAATAATGGTGCAAGTTCACAGGAGGCACTCTATAATGATCCATATTGCACCTGCCCTAATCACAAGAACAAGGGGCCTCCGCCGTCACCTCGCCACCACCACCAACAACAATGGGAGGCTACTGTGGAGAAGGTGCAACACAATTTGCTATCTGGCCACACTACTAGGACGACCTTATCTTATTCACATGGCACATCCATGTGTTTGTTGTTTAGTTTAATTACCTAAGGCATGTTAGGTTTAGTCGAAGGAACTATGTACCCTTGTTTGGTACAAGTTCTCACATGCCATTTCTTGTGTTTGTTGTTCGCTTCAATTACCTAACCTATGTTAAGTTAAGTTCAGGACCTCTATACCCTAGTTCGGTACATGTTCTCACATGCAATTTCATGTGTTTTGTATGTTGAATTATATAATGCCCTACTTCGTTAAGTTTTGTTTGCAGCACGTGATCATATTTCACTAAGTCCACAATATTAAACTGAATATGATGACCACAAATAATGAAAACAACTACATAATGAAAAGTCCAATACTATGACACATTAAACAACACAATAATACTATAAGTACGTACCGACAAACTAAATAACACAGTACATGACCTAAGCATGCCCATACTTAAAGTGCATTACATGACAACACAATAAAAAGTCCAACAGTAGACACCATTGTTCATGAATAAACCATAAAACTATCAAGTAATGGAGACTACTGAGTGCAACAAAACCACTTTCTCTTCCTCAAGGCATCGGGATTCTCGTCCATCGCTGCTTTCGCTCGGCGTGCACGCTCAAGCTTCTTCTCCCTCCCCTCCCTGTACGTAGCAACATGCCTCCTTTCCTCCTCTTCCTTGTGCTCCTTTTTTGCAACTTCCTCTCCGTGTCTCTTCTCCATCATCTCCTTGTCCTCTGCCTCCCACCGCAACAGTTTCTGCATCCATTCCTTGTCTTCAGGCTTGATCTCAGTGTCGATCCACTGCTCAAAATCACAGAGTGGTGGAGGGGTCTGAAAAAAATGTAATTGTTACAAAACAAAAAAAAACATGCAAGATGTCATATGACACAAACATCAATTCATCACCATCTTGTTAATGCGGCGCTGACGAAGTGTAGGCTCAAACGCAAAATTGAAACACATCCAATACCTCTGCCTATACGTGTCCTTTTCATCGGACTTGGCTACCTTGTAAGGATCGCCGCAAAAGCACATGGACACTGGAACACCACTAGGCAGAGGCAACATCTAAAACTGCAGTGAGGATAGTTAAAAAAAAAAGGGGTACCCAGTGCAGAGAGCTCCCGCTCTGTGCGGGGTCTGGGGAAGGGTGTCAGTGGCAACCTTACCCTCGCCTGTGCAATGCGAGAAGAAGACCGCGACTCGAACCCGGGACCTTCCGGTCACAGGCGGTAAGACTCTACCGCTTGCACCAGGCCCGCCCTTCAGTGAGGATAGTTAACATATTGAAACAAAAGATAAACCATGAGTGAAAGAGATAAGAAAAGACTTAAATTGTTGTGAAACATAGTTCTCAGTGAACAATAGTTATCAGCTTGTATAACCATTTTGTATTTTTTTCCAAACAGTACAAAACAGGGCTACTTAGGTTAGCACACCAAATCAATTATCTGTCTTCTAAACTGTAAGTTGCACAAGTTCATGTTGTAGAGGCTCTTAGTATCCATGGGAAGTTCAGTACAACCTGAGAGAAGTATAAAACAGAACGATACAATTGCAGACTAAGCAAGCAGACAAAAAACATAAGATTAACAAAATCCAATGGATGTTCAAAGAGTACTAAGAGTTGACTCAATTCAAGTGATAAATTTACTTGTTCATCCATCTATACCTCCTCTTGCTGTTCCATGTATTGACGAATCCATGCAGCTTGCGACGATCGCCCATGATCCAGTGACACATTCTCATCTCTCCGCCCATCGATTCTAACTTCCAACCCCTCAGTGCTCACCTTCACCTCCTCAGGTTAACGACTCTGTGGCACCCAATTGTCCTTGGCTGTGGACAGTACTTTAACAGAACCTTCAGCTCCTACAACACATACAAACAATGTAATCGTTACATGATTCTTGCCAAGCCCCTGCTCACTGCTCTTCTCCGACTGGCGCGATCAGAGCCGACTGGGACCAACCGACCGGGGACGCCCGCTCGGTAAGGACCAGGAAACGGACGGAGAAAGTAAGGCAGGGCGCACAAGTCAAACCACAACACCGGGGTCAGTACCCTGTACACCTACAGAAACAGTACTCTACGACCTCCCTGGCACGTCAGAACCCAAGCAGTGTTGTAGGCGCTGACATTTTCCCCTACAGTATTGTGGGCGCCATTATCTCCCATACGGTAAGGCTCCCCCCACATGCCTCTGGGCATCAACAGTGTTGTGGGCGCCGGTATTTACCGTACCAGGCGAACATGGTAAAACTCCTTGCATGCCTCCAGGTATCAACAGTGTGGCAGGCGCCGACGTCTGCCATACCCGAAAAAGACAACACAACCTCCCACATGCATTTGACATCCAACAGTGTTGTGGGCGCCTACCATCATCTTGTACCCGCCGGCGTGGGAAGCAAGACTTAGCAGTAAACGTACCCCTTCCCTCTCACTTGTAAGAACATCCCCTTCATCTATAAAAGAGGATGCGCTCTCTTCCAATAGACAGATTCATTAGATCGATCGAGTTCACTAGTACACAACCACAGAACCGCCAGGTTCGAATCACAAGCATACGCTTGAACACTTAGCTCATAGCGGGGCTCCCGTCCCTCTCGGCCCTTCTGACCGGAGTCCGACCGGACCTCTTGTACCCCGCATCTCTCTCATTCTCGTTTGTAACCCCACTACAAACTTCGAGCACCTAGGCTCAGGAATAAAGTCACCGACCGACTCAAACTGGACGTAAGGCACGTTGCCTGAACCAGTATAAACCCTGTGTCATTGAGTGCTAGGCCACCTCCGATCACAACGTACGACAAAACTACAAATATTTACTTGTTGGTCACTTTCTACACCGACAGTAATCGTTACATGATTCTTGCATGAAAGGGCAGCGCCTAATTAATCAACCAATCAGCGCCTCTATGAGTCAAAAAGAAGAGAGAAACTCAACACTTCAACACTTATACAATATTGTAAAAGATGAGACAAACTCAACACTTCAACATTTATACGATACTAGGTAGCGTGCCCGTGCGTTGCTACGGGATAACTAACAATTTATATTAAAAACACACGGATCACATGATAAGATAACAATACTGTTAAATTAAATACCAACATTAAAGTGACATTTAATCCAAAAAGCAAAGTTTATGAATTTAACACAGTCACGGAGCGCGCGGCGTCGCAGGCTCACAAACTCTAGAGCTTCCAGAGATTGGGTCGAATCGAACCTAGAGCCTTGGAACCCTACATCTTTTCCTGGACGGGCTTCACTTCGGATGCGCCGGTAGCAATATCAACGATCTCCAGTCGATGGACCAAGTCGTATGGATCCCCATACAATGGCTCAGACATGTAGATTTTGTTCTCCTTATACTTGGATACACTTGTTCTACTGAAGCTTTCACTGAAATATTTAGACACGAACAGTGTTTGATCACCGATGTCCCTCACCCTGGACCACTCCGGCGTACGGTCGTGGAGGTTGCACTTGTAGATCGTCCTGCTATAGGTGAAGCTTTGTGTCTCGTGGAACGTGCTCACCATGGCACCCACAATGTGCAGCTCACCGTTTGATTCCAGGTAGCTGCGGTGGCAGAGCCCCGCAGGTGGCGACAGCGATGGCAACAGCGTCGCGATTGGAGTAGCGCCGGCGGCGTTGCTGCTGCAGACGGAGATTTCTCCAGTGCAGTCGATCGCCAAGAACTTATCTTGGCAGTGGACGATGGACCCCACGGAGAACTACAGTTTGGTGTCGAGCAGCGTCCATGCGCTGTCGACTCCAACCCGGCAGAACGCGACCTCCGTGGAGCACCCAAGCATGGCCATGGCCACGCACTCGCGGCCGGCGGCGTCAGGCGACGCCGAGAGCACGATCTCACGGAAGAACACGTCCCTCATGTCTTCTAGCTTGATGGCTCTGCCTATGGCATCCGCATCCCCGTAGCCGTTGATGGGATGGAGGACCCACCGGCCGTGGACCCTAGACACGTGTTCCGATGAGGACGCCGCCGCGACGTGTTCGCCTGCTGGCGGGAGCTCAACGCGGGGGGCACGGGCACCGACGAATGGATTCAGCAGCGTCACGGACGCCGCCTCGTCCCTGAGCGCCAGCCACCCACACGAGGAGCCGCACGCCACCTTGCCGCGCACGTCGGGCAGCGTCTTGGACAAGACCTTCTCCGGGACGCAGTAGAAGCCGACGCGGTCCAAGTCGGGGTCGAACGGGAGCAGCAGGAGCGGCCCGAAGGTCGCGAACGGGACGGCGGCGCGCCATGGGGAGCAAGCGGATCAGAAGGACGTCACGTCGTGGCCTGACGCGAGACGCTGCCCGATGGACTCGAGGAGATCCTCTGGCAGGCCAGATCTCCAGTCAGGGAGAGGTAGGGACCTTCTCTTGGGATTGGGAGGCTGAGCCATGAAAGACAGATGACATCAACTATGGTTCACGCAAGAAACAGCAAGCGAGGGCGATGGAACACGTGAGCGCGAAACCAAATGAAAGGAGGAAAAAACTGTCCCTTTTGCAAATGCAAAGAGGGGAAGTAATTAAATGTAGGCAGATTTGGCAAGATTCTCAGAAATGCAAAGAGGTTCCTTCTGTGTTAATTCTTTTTCCTTTTGCTCGTTGCCATGTATACTGGTGCATGCAAACATGCAATGTGTATATGGATAGCACAATAATTTTCTACTTCCTATTTTGTCATGATTCCTCTATCACATGACAGACAATATTCAATCAAGGAGAATTGCACGATCAATCAGTAATTAAGATGTCGTGGGATCGCAGGCGTGGGCAGACGGACGAACCAAAATAAATGTCGTACCAAAAAATATCCACACTTTGTTCTTTTTAGTTGTAGGAGATTGGAAAAGAAGACACAAACCAGCGAGTTTATGGACCGTCAAGCGTATCGACCCAAATAACATCTGAAGATGAAGCCTAAGGTATAACGTATAGACTACATAATGGAGCCGCACCAGGGAAAGGAGCATCGAACAGAACATAAATATAGAAGACAAAACAGAGGAAGGAAGCGATCTTCCTCCTCCCTATAGAGATCCTCTTCCACTTATATCCCTGTGATTGCTCACATGGTTGGGTTGATGTCACCGGTGGCCACGGGTGTGACAGCCACTTCACAGATAAAAAAAAAAGTAAATCACAGAATGCAAGCAAATGATCAATGATGTAAAATCCGTTCTATGTACACATGTAGGAGAAAAGTTACACATCGCACATTCATGTCAAAGAGCACCCTAGTAGACTGATGAGAACACACGCACAGAGAAATGTGTGTACACATGTTGAACCATTCACCGCCTAAACCTTAAACCCTTAATTTCATACCTGCGAGAGAGGTGGTGCTGGTGCCAGCGCTGGAGAACTTGAGGGGGAGCTCATCGCCAGGCAGATTAAAGCATAGCCAGTCCAACGCCGATTCAAACGTTGCCGAATCCTACCTCAGGAAAAAAAAAAAACAAGACACACAAAAGGAAAATCATCAGCTCACAGGCAATACGAACATACGGTCACATCATCGCCGTGAGGTTCTAGGAACGCTCGAGGATACGCACGGGTATCGCGGAGAGCGCCTGCTCGATTTGCGCGGAGGAGAAGCCCTCGAGAGCGAGCTTGTCGTACACGCCACGCAGCCGCCGCGCCTTCTGCTCCCTCGACTCGCCGCGGGCTTCCGGACCGTCGGCAGGTGCCGGGGAGGGGGTGGATGCTGCGGAGGAGTTAAGGAGGAGGCGGCGCTCGTTCTCCGACAAGATCTGGAGGCGCGGCGCGGCGGTGGCTGCGGATGAGGAGGACGAGGAGGCGGAGGAGGACTTCGGCTTCTGCCTCTGCTTCGAGGCCGGCTGCTTCTTCTTCGGCGCCATTTGGCCACAGCCGTGCGGAGTGTGGGCGAACGGGCGATCGTCTCCGGCGACGGCGGGCTTTCGGAATTCCGCAACTGCGGAGTACTTTGGAGTACGGAAACGGTGACGAGCAGCAGCCAGTTCTCGTTCTGGTTGCTGATATACGTTGGGACCCACGTGTAAAGCCCTCTCGCTACATTCAGGAATCAGGAGTCAGGTTGGGCTGGGCCTTCGCCACCTGCCTTTTAGGCAAATGTTTTTCAGAGACCAGCAAATTAGAAAATTCGACGTGAGATGATGAACTGTCGCCACAAATTTCTGTTTTACATTTTTTTTGGCAAAATTTGATCAAACCAATCCACAAAGCTACTACTACTTCGTTGTTCCTTTTCTTATTCTGAATGCTACAGTATCGAAATAGAGCATGGAGACTTCCTCCGTTCATTTCGCTGATAAGCCAGTTTAAAAACACTGTTCACTAATTTGTTGGCTTATTGCGCGAGATATTACAACTCTTTGCAGGATGGAGGTTAAACCATTTGTGTTTTATATAGATGAAACTACTCGACACGTACGTTAGTGCAAATTAGCTGGATATTATACACTCGGTTGTCTTAGCTGGGGCACGTCTCATCTCTGTATTGTCCAAATAGTTCGTAATGTTTCTCCTCAAAAAAGTCCATGATGCTCATGTTTAGGCCAGGATAAATGATGTCTCAAGGGGAAAAAAAAGTTTCCGAATTACGGCATGTTCGCTGGTTGGTTTCTGGGCTGATAAGTCCGGCTAGTGCTGGTTTGTTATGAGAGAAAAACACCATTAGCTGACTGATAAGCCTTGGCTGGTCTTCGGTTAGAACTGATTTGGTAGCTTTCGGCAGTCCCAACGCTGTAATTTCTTATACTATTATAAGAGAAAAATACTACAGTACACAAAAAAAGTAAAGTCACATTGTTTAGCAAACGATGAAACAAGAGAAAATTCCGTGTGTGCCATTGAATGATTCCACAATTCCGGGCAAACCACTGGATCTTTGATTTGGACATGAGTGCCATTAAAATTAATTTTACGTTCCATGAGTGCCACTGCCGTCAAGACCGTTAGGTTTCTCCACCGTCAACTAGTGTGGAGTCTGTTAATTTTTTCAAAAATCCCAATTTTACCCCTGCCCTTTGGGTGAACTTGGCGTAGTCAATATCCTGAGTCCCCTGCTGCAGAAAAATCCGTACCTATCCCACAGCTCACCGTGCATGACTCTGGAAACATCGACTCCCCCAAAAAAGGAAAAAGAGGAAATCCGTCCACACGGCCTCCGCTCAACCCCGTCATGCTGCCTCCGCTCCCTCCCTCCCAGCAGGCGCCTCCGCCACACCAGCACGCCTGCAGTACACTACCATGCCTGGCTACCATGGGGGGAGCCAGTGGCGACCTGCCTCCCAGCGTCGTCCCGCGTCCCCTGCCAAAACCTCGCTTGCCTGTCCCACGACCGGTCGCCCCACACCCACACACAGTGGCCGAGCCGATTTAGCCATTACCGCCGGCCTCCTCCCATTCCAGGTCCCTGCAGCCCTCACGCAGGCGGCGGCGGCGGCACGACAGTCGGCCACGGAGGAGAAGCCATTGCGCCCGGCCTTGTCTCGCCTTGCCACGGTTCGCAGTGAGTACCCTTTCTTCTCCTCTCCGCCGGTGACTCCGCGTGACTTCTTGGCATTGTTTGTCCTTCCCGTGGACAGCAAGCATGAAGACCCATTTTCTGTATTTTCTCATGCCCTTGGTGTGTCTGTGCGTTGCAGTGTGCCTAGCCCTTCATGTGTCTTGTGCATTTTAGGTGCTCGATAAAATGCCGCTTACAAAAGAGAAAAAAACCCGCCACACAGAACCAAAGTAGCTTTGTCGTGGTCTACCGGGTTATGCCACCTTTGCCACTCTACATACATCTATTGGACACGGCATGCTCTCTGCCCGCGCTTGGCGTGGGGTTACCGCTAGTTAATTTGATGAATTTGGGTTTTACTGACTTCGTAGGATAGTGAATTTATGCGGCAAACATCTTGCTTCTAAATTACCAACTTATATATACCAATATACCACAATAATAAAAAAACAATACAAAGAGTCTTGGACCTATTGGATACGAGCTATGCTTCTAAACATTTATGCCTTCCGAGTATCCCGGACCGTGGTGGGCGGCATGGCGCCACCGGAACTGAGCCATGTCGCCCAGAGTGCTTCCTCGATGGGTAAGTAATTGTGTTCTATCTCGGTTTCTTGTTGTGTTGAACCCTAGATAGCTTCCGATTTGATACCGCGTTCATCTGTAGGATGGATCCAAAAACAAGTTTCTTCCTTGATATGAAATTGTTTGGTAACAATGCTAGAGTGGAGGGTGGCTGGTATAGTACCAAAGAAGGTTGTAGACAATGACTATACTAATTTCGAGGACTTCGTTGATGATATCTTGCATTCATACCCTAAAGGCTACGATGATGTTGTCAAACCGTTCTACCTTGCCGATGAATCCCATGTAGAAATCGTAGCAACAGACGAGGAGCTGCTTGCAATGTTTGCTAAGCATGAGAGCTCTAAAGTCATCCGCATGTCCATTGGCTACTTTGATACTAGGAAGCCACATGTTCCTCCTCCTGATTGGAACATATCCAATGTTGTTATTTCTGATGTTGTGCCTTCTACACCTTCTTTGCCACAAAACCCTCCTCTCAAAGCTATCACACAAGGCACCCAACCTACAAAATCTGATTCCCATGGTACCCAACCTCATGAAACAACTAATGACACATTGGACACATATCTTGTGAATCCTTTCCCACAAAATGAGCATGCTGGAGATGATGATGATGATGATGATGATGAGGGTGATCATGAAACTGCATGTCCTACACAGCCAACGCCCAAAGGAGACTATGTGCCCAGCTCTGATTCTGAATCAGGCTATGGAACTGATGATGCCTCATCTGATGAGGAGCAGCAGGACCCACCCCAGCCTATAGAACCAGAAATTGTTTATGATGTTAATGACCCACCAATGGTAGTAGGCGACATTTATCCCAACATGAATGTGTTTAAGTTGGCTATTGCTCAACATTCAATCAAGCATGAGTTTGAATATAACACCGAGAAGAGTGATCCGTGGAGGTTTTAGGGCACATTGCTCATCCAAATCAGAAGGGTGTCCGTGGAGGATCCATGCATCAACAATGCAAGACAAGGTTACAGTAAAGGTAAACGCGAGTCATTTCCAATTTTTTTACATATTTATGATGCTAACGACATTGCTGGTTTTGTTTGACAGGTGAAGAAAAACCCCGATGATCATAATTGTGAGAGTAAAAGGAGGAAAGGAAACGTGCCGCAAGCCACTCAGTTTTGGGTTTGTGAGAAGGTTAAGGATTGGTTAGTGGAAGATGCTAGCTTGGACCTAAGGAACTACAGAGAAGAATCAAAGATACACATAAAGTTGTTGTGTCATATAAAAGGGTTTTTTATGGTAAAGAGTTGGCGCTGAAACAATTATTTGGTGATTGGGACACTAGCTTCAACAACCTATACAGATTCAAAGCAGCAGTTGAAGAGGCATGTCCTAGCAGTTTAGTCGTCATAGATCACTACACCATCGAGGAGAAGATCAGGTTTAGAAGGCTGTTTTTTGCACTAAAACCATGTGTCAATGGTTTTCTTAGAGGATGTAGGCCCTATTTGGCTGCTGATAGCACATTTTTTACTGGTAAGTTCAAGGGTCAGCTAGCAGTAGCTTGTGCAGTAGATGGGCACAACTGGATGTATCCAGTTGGACTTGGAGTGTTTGACTCAGAGACCACTAAGAATTGGAGTTGGTTTTTTCAGCAACTCAAGAATGCTATAGGCACACCACCAGGATTGTCGATATGTACTGATGCAGGTCAAGCAATCATGGCAGGTGTAGCTGCTATTTTTCCAAATGTAGAGCATAGGGAGTGCATGGTGCATTTGGTTAGTAACTTTAAAAAGAGGTATCATGGAAAGGTATTTGATAAGACCTTGTGGCCTGCTGCATATTCTTGGAATTCATACTATTTTAACAAGCATTGGCATGAAATGGCTGAAGCTAAACCTGCTGCAGTGAAGTATCTAAGGCAAAATCACACCAAATTGTGGACCAGAAGCCAGTTTTCAACTCTGTCTAAGGTAGATTATGTCACTAACAATCTAGCTGAGAGCTTCAACAACTGGATCAAGAGTGAAAAAGATCGGAACTTAGATGATCTTATGGACGTGATCAGACAAAAGCTCATGGTCAAGTGGAATAAAAGGAGGAAAATTGCACGAAAGATGGATGGCAAGATATTACCCCATATTGTGAAAAACCTAAAGGAGAGGAGCAGAAATTTGGATATGGATGTGCTTGAAGGTTCAGATGAAATTGGAGAGGTGATAAGGAGGGGCGGCTCAGGTTTCAGGTATGCTAATTACCTTGCTGGTTTTATTTTAATTAATCTAAATCCTTGCTGGTCACATGTTTATGATGCTAATTACCTTGATGGTCTTATTTTAATTAAACTGAATCCTTGTCGGTTACATGCTTATGATACAGGTATGCTATTAACCTTAAGGAGAGAACTTGTACGCAGCAGAGAGTGGCAAGTTTCAGAAAAGCCTTGCAATCATGCAATTGCTATGATCACTTCTATTAGAGGTCGAATCTTGAGGATCACATGGACTCCTACTTCTCAGCTTGACATGTTCAAATCAGCATATGAGGAGGCAATTCCACTTTGCGAGATAAGTCTCAAGTGGCTCGAGTCTTAGCATGGTTTCTTCATGCATCCACCACGCTTAAATCAACTTCACGGAAGGAGAAAGACACAGAGGCATAAAAGCAAAGGTCTTTGAAGGCGGGCAAGGTAGAAAAGGGAGGCACCAGTGTCCAATTTGCAAGCAACATGGACACCACTGGTGGACCTGCAAAGATGGTGATCCAGAAGACAAAGCTACCATGCTTGCAGCCAGGTATTATCAAACTTCATAA